TCTCACGCGGAGCGACCTTTTTATTGTTCCCCCGGATGAAAAGAGTCCTCAGAGGGAAGCGTTCCGCCGACGCGGACGAGGTGAACCAGAGAACGGCAGAGGCACTAAAAGGCATCCAAACCGACCAGCTCAAAAGCTGTTTGAGCCGTGGGAAAAACATCTCGATAGGTGTACGGCATCACAGAGAGGACTTGGAAGGTGACTGGAGTTCAGACGTGTCAGAATAAATACACGATTACTTCTAAATAAACCCCAGGTTTTTGGGTGCCTCCCTCATATAGCCACCCAGACATATCTGAGTCCTCTCTCTCGCCCAAGAAAAAATGAAGAGGCCCCTCCCCTCCCCATCCCACCGCTCGCCCACAGGACAGCCCACCCTCTCCCCCTGCTGGCCCGTAGCTCTCACTGCGCTCGCTGTCGGCATAACCGCATTTATCTGAGCCAAGACACAGTCTCACCTCCAGGCCCCTGTACCCAGCAGAGTGTCTGGTGGCGAGGGGACAGCCAGCCTGCCTTTCAGCCCCGAACGGCATCCAGCCAAGGGCACGGGCATGTTGGGGGAGAGCAAGCCATCGGGGCTGTGCTCAGTGCCTGCCCCCGCCCCCGCCCCATGCAGGAAGGGGGCTCAACAGGGCCACTGACGCCCCCCCCAGCTTGAGGCTGGCGGGGACCTGACCCACCCGTGCGGGGAAGACCCCCCCCCCCGGCTGGCCCTCAGCTGCAGACTCCGGGGTTTCCCTTTCCCTGAAGCCTGGGGGGCCGTCATCCGCACTGGGAACTGGTTCCAGGTGCTGCTGTGGCTTTGGGGACCGAATTCTTAGAAGGAGCTTTCCTGCCCTCGAGGACGGCATTTTCCAGGCGTGTCCAAAGTTGGCGGGTGGCTGCTGCACGCCAGGGGGTCCACGGGAGGGTCCCTCAGGGCGCTGCCTCCACCAGCCTCCTCCCAGCCCCCTGGAGAGACCGACTCAGGCCACCCAGCCAACGGTTAGCAGTCGCGGGGGGATTCTCTTTTAAGACAGATACACAGAAAGAGGTTTGTGAAGCGGGATTGGCCTCACCTGAGTACGGGGCTGAGCAGTCCCGGAAGGAGCCGCTGTTGGCAGGAAGCTCGGGGAAGTGACAGGCGCTCCAGTCCGGGGCCACAGGCCTGAGGACCCGGGGCGCCCATGGCCCAGGGTGGGGAGACGGCTGCCACAGCTCAGCACAGCTCGGCCCCGCCCCCTCGGCCCCTCCGTCCTCCCCAGGCCTCCCAGGGTTGGAAGGGGCCCCTGAGCTGGTGAGGACCGTGTTGTTCACTCAGCCAGGGAGCAGCAAGGGCCGGTGACCCGCCACGCCTGCCCGAGGGAGCGCCCCACTGAGACGGGGCTGGCCAGCGCCTCGGGTGGAACAGGAGGTTCGTACTCAGATGTGAGAACCGCTGGCCCGAGGACCGGGGGCTGTGTGGCAGGGCTGGTCGGGCGGTCAAGCGCATCCTGTGAGCCGGGCCCACAGCCGCGGCGCAGCCAAGCCGAGGGCGAGGCAGTGGGCTTGCAGAGCCGGCCCACCCATATACTGTGGCTTGAGCCCCCACAAAGCCCTGCAAGGAGGGAATCGCTGGTCTCACCTCACAGACGAGGGCACTGAGACTCAGAAGTTCACTGACCCACCCAGCGAACAGGGAGCAGAGTCCAGCGTCAAACCCGCCACGCTCCCTGACAACTCGGACTCCGCGGAGGGCAGGGCGGGGACTCCCAGGGGGCGGGTCTCTCCCGGGGAGGACCTTGTGGTGGTGCGGGGCTGGGAGGAGAGAGCGGAGCAGGGCTCCCTGGGTGCCCAGGGGCGCCCCAGGCTCCATCCACAGCCCCGGGTCCGCCGAGATGCTTCAGGCTGACAGCACCTTCCCCAGGTGGAAGGTGAGCCCCCCACGTGCCCTGGGGGGAGGCCACTGCTTCTTCCCAGAGGACTGGACAGCACCCCGTTCCTGGGCGCCTCGCCGCTTGCTTGGAAACATCCCCCCAACCTCTGGTGTCTCCCTGGATCCACTCTCTGGCCACGGAGAATCCCAGGGCCCTGGGCGTTGGGAGTCTTAGGGGAGAAGCAAGAGAAAGGATTGCAGAGCCAGACCCTACAGAGGCACCCAGCGTCCTCACTGCCATCATCGCCGAGGCTCGCGTTTCAATGAGCAGCACAGGCCGCGACTTCCACGTGAGATTCCACAGAGCCACGAAGTCACGCTTGCCCACTGTGCGGGGAAACACGCCCACCGCGGTTTTCTGGACCCCTGCTAGGCCCAGAGGTCGTTTTTTGTAACAGGCGCCGTGAGAAAACGCGAAGCAGCACTGCCCTCTGGTGGACACGAACAGCATGTACAACAGCTCTCAGAGCAGGCACTGGAGAAGGACCCGTGGTGGGAAACGGCCACTCTTCAGAGGGGACGGATGCTTCTGGAAAGTGCGTGTCTGAAACCGCAAGCACACTTGGGAGCCTTCCCGCGGAGCCATGAAAAGTTTTATTCCTCCCGTCAGCCGCCCCCCTCCCTCCTCGGCGCCCCTGAAACTCCCAGGGAGGTCTGAGCAGGTGGCCAGGAGTCACTCTGAGGCCCTGCTCCCCTGAGTGCCAGCGGCGCCGGTCAGGGCGCGCTCCTGTGTGGCCGGCGGAGCCCCCAGTCCGAGTGCAAGAGGCAACTGATCCCTGTGTTTTTCGCTTATCGATGTTTCTCCCTCCCTTTCTCCCTCCTGTCCCCTCTCTCGGAAGATAAATAAAAATACCTTTTTAAAAAATCTTAAAAAAAAAAAAAGACCCCCCATGGGGGTCTGGAATGAGCCGAGCAGCTCGGATGCTGCGTCCAGGCCTGTGTCCACGTGAGGCACAGGCGGCCCAAGGAGGGGACCTGGAAAAGGGGAGACTTCTCCAGACGGGCCACAGTGCTGTTGTCCCCTTGCTGTTTTGCACACCATGCAAACTGAATGACGACTTACATTTCGTGTTTGGGAAGTGCACCTCACATGCAAGGGTAACATGCACTCACTATGAAACACCTCGTGTACCCCAAAGAGCGTCTGAACCGTGTGGGCTGCAGAGAGAGTGGACAGAAAGCAGGCAGCCACTCAGCTAGGACTGAACCCAGCTAAGCGTGGGTCCTAGGGGGGTGGGGGGGGCCCTGGCACCTCTCCACAGTCACGCCCACCCCTGAGATGACGCCCAGCCAATGTCTATGATGACTTGTTCTTTTTAAAGATTTTATTTATTTTTAGAGAGAGGGAAAGGGAGAGAGAGAGGGAGAAAAACATCAATGTGTGCCTGCCTCTCAGGCACTACTGGGGACCTGGCCCGCAACCCAGGCACGTGCCCTGACTGGGAATCAAACCAGTGACCCTTTGGTTCGCAGGCTGGTGCTCAATCCACTGAGCCACACCAGCCAGGGCTTGCTTTTCTATACGGCTTCCCACTTGCATTTCCGTCTCTAAGTGCAGAGTTCAGTTTGGGTTACTGTTAAACTCCGTGTAAAGGACCCACTATGGCCCTGACTGGTATGGCTCAGTGGATTGAGCACCGGCCTGCAAACCAAAGGGTTGCCGGTTCAATTCCCAGTCAGGGCACATGACTGGGTTGTGGGCCAGGTCCCCTAGTAAGGGGGGCCTGAGAGGCAACCACACATTGATGTTTCTCTCCCTCTCTTTCTCCTTCTCTTCCCTTCTCTCTAAAAAATAGATACAATCTTAAAAAAAAAAGACTCATTGTGACTCACTCCTGTCTGTAAAAATATTCCATTAGTACATATCAACTCCTTTCAAAGGGCATTGGGGGAGTTTTCCAAGTTCTCACGTCAGAAGCGTGGAATGACGCCGCCCCAAAGAGCCTCATCCGTCAGCTGACCCCCGAGTGCTACAGACTCCCTAGTCTAGAGGCTGGAGCCCATTTCCCGTGAATGGGCCCCATGGATGGTGCATGTTTGAACTAGACAGTTTAGGAACTAGGTGGTCTCTCTTGCAACTGCTGGACTCCGCCCTTGCCCTGGGGAAGCAATCATGACCATGTGCAAAAAAAAAAAAAAAAACAACCAAAAAACAAAACAAAAGGCATGACTTCATTCAACCAAACAAAGCAGAGACAGGTGGCAGGCCGGACTGGGACCTAGTCCCACGGTTCGCCGACTCCTGCTGAAGACGAAGCTGTTGCTTAGGAGGGGGGCTGCCAGCACCTCACCCCCGAGTGGACAGGGCGCAGGCGGCCGGGCGGAGGGGCAGGGGCACCCCCAACCTCACTGGGCCAAGCCAGACTCTCTCCCCCGCCACGGGGCTTTTGCACGCTTGCACCCCCACCAGCAGGTCTGTGCGCCCCGGCCGCTCACCACCTCACTGGGACCTGGCACCACTCATTTCTGCCAGACGCACAGGTGCGCTGCGGCTGTTGTGCGTTTCACCGGTACGGGGCTGAGACTCGTCAGCCCCGCTGCCTTTGTGGGAACGGGAGGACAGTCAGTTTCCTTGGGCCCTTGAATGGCAGAAACCAGGGTGTCCCAGGGGCAGATGGGCGGTCTTCTTCAAGATTCTACCCGGTCCCAACGCACCCCTGGCCCCACGTCTCCTGGGCGGCGCCCCCGCATCTTTTCGCAGGGCGCGAGGTGCCCTCTCCCTTTTCCCGTGAGAGGGTGGGCGGGAGGAAGGGCCGCCCCCTCCCCCCTCGGACAGACACCAGCTCCGGAACCTGGAGACTCGGCTGAACAGCAACAGGAACCGAGAGCAGTCAGTCCTGGAAGACCGGGTGGGGGGGGGGCGGGGGGTGCTGATGTGAGAAGAGGGGGACAGGGGGCACCTGAAGGGACAGCTAGTGAAGGCGACAGACAAATCTTGTGGGAGTGCGTGCCCAGGGCGTAGCTGTAAAAAACAGGAAGTTTTTGTTCAAGTTTTATTGTTTCCTTTAAAGATTCCCGCCTGCCCCCCCATCCCCCCCCCCCCCCGCCGTAGGTTCTGCACTGAATGTGCCCGCGCCGGTGTGGGAAGGAGAGACACAAAGACAGCTCAGAAAAGGATCTTTTAATAAAAATTGCTCATAAAATCCCGATAAATCTCAAAGAGCAAGATATTTCTCAGTACATTTATAAAAGAACATTTGGTCCTTTTACAAAAAGCTCCCTTTTAATTTAAATACACTTCTTATTTACAGATTAGATGTAAAACATCATCTCTAGTTGCCAAGCATATTGCACATTACAGAGAAGCGTTTGTGTATTTCTGTAGGTTTTCCAGAGCTTCCGACTGCAGATTGCTTAAAAAAAAAAACAGGTTTACTTTTCTTGTGCATAATAAATAAAAATGCAGCTTGTGTTTTGCTATTAAAATGACCACAAAATACGTTGAAAACCACCCTCTGCCCCCGTGGGAGGGGCGGGGCTCCGCCCGGGGCAGGTCCACAGGCACCGAACGCTGTCACCACCCGCGCCCACACGTCCCAGCGGGACGGGAACCCTGAGCCGGGCACAGGCAGGGAGGCTGGCCGGCCGCCCACCCCCTCGGCCCCAGGAGCACCCCCTGCGGGGGAGAGGCCCCAGGGCACGGTGGGCGGGGCCAGACGGAAGAGGAAAGAGGAAGGTTGAAGGTCCCGCCGCTCCGGCAAGGCGGCCAGTGCGGAACTGGAGGGCATGGAGGGGGAGAGCCCCGGGCCCCACGGAAGAAAGGCCAGTCAGACTCACGCCAGTCCTGGGTCACCCCGCACCCTGGGCCAAGGGGAGAGAGCGCTCGGGAAGGGGGTGACCGGGCCCAGCCCTCCCGCCGCACGGCAGCACTTGCCCCGCCAGGTCCGAGGCTGGCAGCTGCCGTCACCGCCCAGGCACCAACACCGAGAACGGGGATCCCACGTGCACCCGCGCCCCCGTCAGTGCAGCCTCTGTGCACCCAGCCGGGCGGCCTGCAGGGCAGAGGTGGTGCCGGCGGCTGGGTTTCCAGAGGGTCACCTCCAGGCCCCAGAACTCCAGGGGGGGCGTTCCCGCCCCGTCACCTGCAGCAGCAGCAGCGACACCCCACTCTGTGATGGTCCCGCCCTTGGCGGGGAGTGAGGGGATGTCTGACTCTGCCCTGAGCAGGCCCTCCGGGCCCAAAATCCACGGACACGGGCCAGCGGGGTGGCCAGAGACCGGCGGGCACGGCCCGGCCCCGAGGGGGCCGTGGGGCGCTGGGGGTGTCACGGGAGCCAGGAGGAAAGCCGGGGTGGCAGGGGGAGAGGACGCCCGAGGGGCCTGCTCCCCGGCCCCGCGTGGCCCATGCTCCCCAGGGTCAGGAGAGTCTCTCCCCGGTTTGCCAGGGGAGAGCTACCGGGGCGCCCCTGCCCGCGGTGCGCGGGTCTGGAGTGAGACACTCCGGTTTTCCCGGGCCAACGAAAACAAGAAAATTCTCTATTCAGTAGACGAGACAGTGTTGATAAACGGAATGCTTCTGAAATGGAAAAAAAAAAAAGAGGTAAAACAGAAGCATTTGACTCTTTTACTTTAAAACTGGCAGAGTAAACATTTAAAAGATGGAGGTGATACATTGTTACTGAAAAATACCCTTTAAAAAACCTCAGCGAACTAAATCCTACATCTCTTTTAAAAAACAGTAACAAGTTTTCAGGAAGGAGTACAATGTGTCCCTTTGGCTCACTCAGGGCTCGGCCCCCGTCAGATGGACGGACAGACAGCCACGAGACAGCGCGAGGTGAGGGGCTCGCACCCATCTCCGCAGGAGCGCCCCGCACCGGCTCAGAGAGGGACTCTCTCGCTCTGGCGGAGGGAGGGAGGGAGGAGGAAGGGAAGGGAGGGAGGGAGAAGGCGCTGCTGCAAATGCCCGGCGGAAAGGCACCGACTGCCCGGCGGGAGGTTTCCGGAATCTGGGGAACTGCCGCCGCCCCGCCCACCGCTCCCAGGCCTCAAGGAGGAAGGGCTCAGAACACGCCTCGGGCCCAGAGCGGCCACGGAACAGCCAGCGGCCCAGCCTGAAGCCACACAGCACGAGGCCCAGCCTGCACGACGGAGACACGGCTCGGGACACAGGAGCGGGAAGTCGCCTCCCGGCCCAGAGGACCCGGCGCACCGGCACCGGACACAGGACACAGGACACAAAGCCGGACCCTGACCTGCACACGGTCAGAATGGAGACGCCTTGGTCAGCAGTAAAGGTGAGGCAGACGGAAGCTCAGGCAACCTTAGGGGTTCCTCCCCCGCCCCCCGAAAGGCACATGGTCCCGGACCGGGGCGGCTCCCCAGTGAGCCCCCCTTGGTACAAAACACAGCCGCCGAGGCAGCGCGAGACACCCCCTGCCGGGACCCGGACAGCGCGGCCCCTGCAAGCAAACCCCCGGTAATGCTGCAGGGGTTACTGGGGTGCAAACGGGTAACTGGGGGATCCTCCCCCAGGGGACTCAGAATCACGGGGGCTTCGGGAGGAGAGCCCCGCTGTCAGGTGAGAGGGACACAGGAGGACAAAGTGCGGTCAACCGCAGGCCCTTTCGCGGAAACCGCGCCCGCGGCAGGACCCCCGGGACGGGGCGGCGAGGGTCCGTCGGAGCCGCCCGTGCGCTGCGCCGAGTGGCATCGGCGCGGTCAGCGGGAGGCACCTTCCGCGGACCCGCTCACCGCAAACTGCGTCCTTAAGAAACACGGGCACTTTATTGAACGGAGAAACAGCGACGTGAGCGAGACTCTGCCGGACGTGGGTGAGGGCCGGGCGGGGCCCCGGGCCCGCGGGGTGGGGGCCGCAGACCGCCCGCAGGGCCTGGCTCGGCGTGGGGGCCGGGTCGGGGCCGGGGCGCGGCTCAGAGGAGGCCGACCATCTGGTCGATCTGCCGCATGTAGACGCTCTTCAGGGGCAGCGAGTACCTCCTCTCGTCGGGCACGCGGTTGCACTGGGGGGAGAAAGGGGGGACGGTGGGGGCTTCGGACTGGGGATCCCAGTGCGGAGCCTCGGCTACCGTGGCCGGTGACCCCCTGACCTGGGGCTTCTCAGCCGGGCGCCGGGGGCCCCTGGGGCTGCCCGCGGGCCTCGGGGGGCTGGCAGCACCCCTAGCCTCTGCTGCCAGATGACCCCCAGCCCCACCGCCCCGTGTGGCGACTGAGGCTGTCCCCAGGCCCTGCCCACTGTCCCCGAGGAGCGCTGACCCTCGCTCCCGGGGAGGAGCTGGGGGCCGGGGAGGCTGACGCCCACTCGAGAGCCGCAGGGCCCCCGCGTCCACCCAGAGCTGCCCAGGGTGCTCTTGCTCCTCGGGGGTACTGCGGTTTTTCTGAGTTTATGGCTCTCCACAGCTGAAATCTAAATGCCTAAGAGTGCTTTTTTTAAAAACGTTTTCTTTGTACTTAAAGGCCTTTCTTCCCTCCCCTCGAAGGAGAGCAAGTCTGGAACCAGACGTGACACCTGGGGACAGTCTCCCCCAGACACTGGGGCAGGCCCTCCTCTGAGGAGCCTGCCCCCGCCGCCCTGAGTGGAACTCTCCGGGCCCCGCTCCCCGTCCTCACCAAGTCAAGCCCGACAGGCCCCTCGGCCGGCCCCTGCGCCCCGCCCATACCTGCCTCTGCCCGCGCACCCCCACCAGGGGCCCCTTCCTGCCCCAGGACCCGTGGAAAAGCCAGCCCCTCCAGGAAGCCCTCTTGACTTTCTCGGCAGCACCGCGGCTGGGCCCTCCCCACAACCGCCTGAGGGCAGGCGGTCTTCCCGCCGGGCCACGACCTGTCTGGATGGGGTCCCTCGGCCGGCCCCCAGGCCCTCCGGAATCAGCCCTGCCACACGGCGTCACCTTCCACCCCAAGCCCGGCTCCAGCTCGCGGTGCCTGGCCCGGAGCTGGCAGTCTGGGGCGCTTGTCCACGCTCTGGCCCCTCACTTCCCTTCACAGGCTGATGGCCGAGACCGTCATGTGGACATTAGGGGGCCGCCCGGGGGCAGAGTCTGGGGTGGAAGGCGCCCCCATTCCCGGAGGCAGGTGGAGGCGTCTCAGCCACCAAGGCGTCCCATGCCTCGTGGGAAAATAAGGTCTGGCGTCCCGACCAAGGCATGGCCCCTTCCCAGCCTCCCTTCCGCACCTGCTCCTCACTTCCAACCTTGACGACCAGGAGGACTCACGTGAGAGACATAGGCCCCATTTCCATGCCCCCCCCAGCCTGCTGGGCGGCCAGCCTGCGCAGTGCAGCCTGCTGGGGTGGGGCCAGCCCCCACTGCCCTTCAGGGGCACCTTCAGGGAAAGTGTGGGGACCAGCGCTGCCTCCCCCCTCCCGTGGCGGGTGTGCTGCCTGCCCTGCACCCTCCCCTGCACCCGCCCCTGGGCACCCGGCTCCGGCCGCCCCGAGGATTCTGACACAGGGCCCCCGCCCTCCGGTGTGAGCAGGTCAGAAGGGAGGGGGAGGGCCCTGTGCGCCCTCGGCTGGCTCCTGCCCCCCCCCCCCGCCGGCCCGCCCCTGTCCGCCAGCCCCGGCAGCAGGGAGCGACAACGGCCCGCTCCCATGGCTCCCCGCACCCCGACGCCGCCTCTGTGAACGGCTGGGGGAACTGCCAGCAAAGCCAACCCACGGGCCCTGCAATCGGCTGCGAGTGCTGTCTCTCCCACCCGTGTGAACCAAACCGCCGGGAAAGAGCGGAAGCGACTTACGTTGGAGCTGGAGTTGACGACGTTCACGTCGTGGGACTTGGGCCTGCGCGCCGGCTTCCCCGCGGGGCCCCGCCCGCCCTCCTCGGGGAACAGCTCCTTCCACGGGGCCTCGCGCAGGTGCTGGTCGACAGACACGATGTGCCCCTCGGTCGTGAACATGTACCTGGTCCCGGACTTGTGCACCGGGTTCTCCTCGTCGAAGAGCTGGCGGAGGGACGAGAGAAAACTGACACGGCTGGTGACTGGGGCCCGAGGGACCGGCTCCCGGGCTCGGCCTTGGCTCCGCGGCAGCACACGACTGGTGGGGGGGGGGGTGGCAATGAGCCAACCAACAACCGTGGCCCCCAACCCGGCTGCAAGCCCGAATGGCCAACTTTGTTCACACTCAGAGGCTCCCCCCACCTGTCCCCCCACCGGCCGAGAGGTGCGAGGCCCAGGGCCGGGACGCAGACGTGGGCAGCGTGTGGAAGCCCCAGGGCCCGCCCCACACGTGGGCGTGTGCTGGGCTCTGGAGCCCCCTGCACCCACGCCCCGCCAGAGGCCAGAGGGAGGAGGCAGGAGTTCCGTCCTTCTCGGCATCCTCAGCACATGGGCCACCACCCAGCCCATGCCGGTGCCAGGGCGGGGCCGGGCTCTGGGGACCCCGGGGACTCGGGCCCTCTCTCCTCCAAGGGTGGGTGGGCCGGTGGGGAGGAGGCGGGGTCAGTGAATGCCGAATGAGTGGGAACCGAGGCATCTCGGGTGGGAGACACCTGGGAGCCCCCCCACGTGCTTTACAAACGAGGGGAACCGGGCCCCAGCCGCCCTCCCACGCCCGCCCAGTGAACGGGAGGAGGACAGGCTGGGCTGGCTCCCCTGACCCTGGGCCTCTCCTCTGGGCCCCAGGGGCCTCCTCCACTCACTCCAGACCTGCCCTTCGAACACCCCTGCAGCCGCACGGGGTGCAGCCTGGTGCTGGCCAGCCTGTGTCACCACCTGACTCTGCCGTGCTGTCAGAGGGGACCTGGCAGGTGGCATCTGGGAGCAGGCCACGGGCTACGCCATGCGGCTGCTAGGGGTCTGTGGTCCCCTGTGGAAAGTGATGCCAAAGCATGGTGACATGCTCCCGCGGGCCCTCCACGACCCGGACCTCGGGTCGCACCGTGCCAGGCTCGCACCTCTGTCCGCGAGACGGAGCCTCCCGCACACCGGGGCTAGAGCCATGGGGCGTGGGGCTGACCGAGCGCTCCCCGGGGGTGGGGGCCCCTCACGACACACGCACCAGGTACAGGTATTTGCAGGTCTCGCTGAGGAAGAAGCTCTCCATGCGGTCCTCCTTGGACTTGTCGATGACGTGGTGCAGCGTGGCGTACCCGCACCTGCGAGACCACCGCCAGGTCAGCCCCGCCTGCCCCTGCGCGCCCACGCACGCACCGAGGGGCAGGAGGGGTCAGGCACAGGGCGATGACCGCGGTGTCCGACGCCACAGGGCGGACACACCGGCGGGGTTCAAGGGCTGCCTGTCTTTAGCCGGACTGCCCGCAAACCCATTTACAGACGGACTTGGCGGCCGAGGCCCCCGGGGGGCTGCGGGGGAGGGAGGCGGGTGTGCGGGCAGGTGTTTGCCGCAGGCGGAGCAGGACACCAGGGAGATGACCGGCAACGAGTTCAGAAGGACTTGTTTACATGTTTTTGTCCTAATATTTATGGAGCTGATGTATCATTTCAATAGCCAAAAACAGTACTTTATAAGAAAATACTTATGATGTACTCCTGGGTGAAAAAAGCAGGTCATGTTGAAAGAGTGTTTGTAATATACACACACACACACACGTTAAGGACACACATAGTCACCCCGGCTGGTGAGACTCAGTGGACTGAGCACCGGCTGTGAACCGAAAGGTTGCGGGTTCAATTCCCAGCCAGGGCACAGGCCTGGGTTTCGGGCTTGTCCCCCGTTGGGGCGTTTGAGAGGAAACCAATCAATGTGTCTCTCACACATCAGCACTTCCCTCCCTCTTTCTCCCTCCCTCCCCCAGCTCTACAAATAAATAAATAAAATCTTAAAGAAAGAGTAAGCACAGTCTGCTGGAACCTTACAGACAAAAATGGTGAAATAATAACACGAGCCATCCCCATTATCAGGGACAGGTTCTATCACACAAACAGGAAGCAATTTCCGTACAAAATTAACATTAACGACCTGTCCCATGAGTTAAAGTGCCGCCGCAAGTCGCTAACATTTCCCCAGAAGGACCCCAGGCGGACCCAGAGTGGCCGCGGGGAAAGGGAGGGGGGAGGGCACTCACTTGACCTTCGTGTGCTTCTCCAGACTCTGCAGGATGTCCATGCCCACGTGCAGGTAGAAGGGGTTCTTGGTCGCCTGGGGAGAGCAGGGGGCGTGTGACCCGCGGGGCCTGAGGACCCGCGGCCTCGGCAGAGCTGGCGGCGGGGCGGGGGTTTCCCAGCGAAGGAGCCACTGGCAAAGGAAGGCCCGGTCCCCTTAGTCCTGAAGGGTCACAGAGGGACAGGCCTAGGGTGTCCGTCAGCTCCCGTGGAGCGCCCCACCGACCTATTTAAGGTTAAGCAGGGCCGAGAGAGCCCAGTCCCGGGCGGAACCAAACCCGGCCTGGCCTTCCGGAGCTGCGCCCCTGCCGAGGGCAGATCCGGTCTCGGCCCGCCCCGGACCTCCCCAGAAACGCCAGCTCCAGGCGATCGCCCGGTGCTGGGCCCGCACTGTGAGGCGGCGAATGGGGACAGGGCACACAGGGCCCCACGGGAGGCTCTGCAGCCGTCCGCCCGCCCTCCAGCTCGGGCCTGGGGGTGCCCACTGCGCCGGCACTCGCTCGGAGGTGGTTCGCCAGGCCAGGATTCTCTGGGAAGATGCGACCTTGCCCCACCAACAGTGTGACAGCCAGGGATCCTGCGTAGTCCCTGCCTCCTGCCAACTCGCGGCAGCAAAACCAGAAAACTAAAGGCGGCTGTGCTGGCCGCGGGCACAGGGCGCGGCTGCGGAGGCCAGGCCGCCGCAGGAAGGCGTCCCCGCGCCCTGGGAGAACAGCCCACGAGCGCACGACGCTGAAAACGGGAAGCAGCGCAGACAGGAAGAGAGACAGAGTCCCCACGGCAACAGACCCAAGCTGATGGGTGCTGAGCCGGCACAGGCCTGCCGCCCTGGGCGCTGGACGGGGGCGGGGGGCACCCTGAACTCGGGGAGACCCATCGCAGGGGAGACCCGTTGGGGGCAGCCCCGCCCCTTCTCAGCAGCCACCTAAGCCCAGGGGCACGAGGGCCACCAGCAGCTTCACCGGACGCTGCCGCTTTGCATGGAGAAGCCAGGGAGCCGGCCTCGGTGTTCGGATGTCACCGACTAGACCTGATCCCAGCGCTGACGCCGCTGCGGAGCTCACGGGGGTCAGCGTGCCCGGGGCGGGCCCGCAGGGGCTGTTCCGGCGCACGGGCCGCGCCGCACCGCACGCACGCACGCCCCCGTCCGGCGCAGTGCGGGGTGGGAGGCTGTGCGCCCACGTACGCACGGCAGGCGGGGTACAGACGTCCGCCTGCGACGAGGGGCGGAGACCTCGCAGGCCGCGCCATGCCCCTGGCACGGAAGTCACTGCACTACGTCTCCAGCATTGACCAAGGACAGCTGTCCAGGCATGTCCCCGACTCTCCTTCGCAGCCAAGGAAAAGGACCTTTTTGTCTGCGGAGTTATCGCAGAGATGGGCTCCCCCAGCACACGAACTGCACCCCCAGAAAGAGCGGCGGGGGCGGGTCGATTTGGAGAACACTGAGCAACCTTGACCCCCGAGGACGCGAGAGAGGGGGTCCTGCGGCTCAGACACGGCTCGGCTCTGCGGAGCGCCGGGTTACCTCCGTGCGACAGACCGCAGACAGACGCAGTCCCCGTCCTGGGGAAGCGCGGGGGCACCACCGCCGAGGAGACAGGGGACAGGCGGGCGCTGTCAGCGTCACCGCGCACGGGGCTGCGTCATGCGGCAGACGTGAGCTGAGGCCCCGCCCCAGCGCCGCCCCAGCACCGCCCCCTCGCGGCGGGGCGCGCGGACGCAGCACCTGGTAGAGCAGGTACGTGGACTCCACCAGCTCGGGCCTCAGCGGGTAGAAGAGCACGTCCGGGGCCTGCAGCTGCCAGTTGTACCGCTCGGGCAGGGCGCCGTACCGCTTCCAGATGGCGTAGTAGAAGGCGTGCAGGCAGATGGCGTCCTCCACGTCCCCCATCAGCACCTGCGGCCGGGCGCAGGTCACCGGGTCACACGAGGCTGGGGGCTCTCCTGCCCCCCACTCACCTGCACCCCGGGTAGACACACGACCAGCCACCTGGGGCGGCGGACGCCCTCGCTAGGGGCCCGGGGCCGCGTACCTGCAGCCCGGGGAAGAAGGCCTGCAGGGAGTCGATCCACGTGTTCATCAGCTGCCCGCTGAACATGTTCACGTTCACGTAGAGCGGCGGGTCTCCTTCCCCCTCGTTGCAGGCTTCCCGACTGAGGGCAGGCAGGGCGGTCCGTGAGGGGAGGTCACCGGCGGGCCGCTCTACCCGCCCCGCGGCCGCCCCAGGCTGTCTAACTGAAGTGGCGTCAGCTTAACCTCGCCCCCTCCTCCCCCTTTCAGCCTTCGGAGACAGGCTGCCTCCACCTGTCGGTCCCGGGGTGGGTCCCGGCAGCGCCAGGGTCACGACCGGACGTCGGGACGGCTCAGGTCTCGCTGTGCTCGCAGAAGGCTCCCTGACGTTCAGGTTTAAGGACAGGGCCCCACGACAGAGCGCAGTGCGCAGCGTGGGGCTCCATGGGGTTGCACCCAAGTGGGGAAGCCTGGGTATTTCTGCACAGAAAAGGAGTCTCCGGTCTAACACGCAGACACCACGGGCCTGGAGGAACGCATCAGAGCTTGACCTCGAGGGGCTGCCGCGTGAGCGAGCCTGGGAGTTGGCCCTCCGCCCTGACCGGGCCTTGGCGAGGCCCCGCCCCCGCCAACAGCCTGGAGACAACCTTGTGAGACCCTGGCCAGTGCAGCCGCTCCCGGCTCCTGACCCTCAGATGCTGCTTCAAGCACTAGGTTTTGGGGTGACTTGTTACACAGCAGCAGGCGGCTAATGTGCACCCCTGTGCCCCCAAGTGAGGGACAGACAACCGGTGAGGGTGGAGCCCCACCCCCCAGCCCGCGCTGCGCGCTCCCGGGGCGCCGGGAGCCGGCCGGGGCCTACCCTCTGCGCAGGTAGTTCCGGATGCTCCGGTAGGCGGCGTTGAACATGTCCAGGTCTTCTTTCTCGCCGAAGAGGATGTAGGACTTCAGGAGGTACTCGTAGAAGGAGTCCAGCCCGGCCCCCAAGCCGCTCTGCTTCCCCACCCAGTGGCCCGTCTGGATGTTGACCACGTTGCCTGTGGGAACAGCAGCGCTGGTCAGGCCCCTGCTGCAGGGGTGGGGGCGGCCTGCTCCTGGGGTCCCCGCACGCAGCACCTCTGTCCTTGGCGGCCAGAGAAAGAAGGGCAGCTGGGCCCTCCCACTACCGCCAGCCCTGACAGTGGCCTGGACGGCCAGGGGACCTTTCCAAACCCACAGGTTCGGCACTGACGCAGACACGGGGACCACGTGCCACGCCAGGGCGAAACAGGGCTGTCACTCTGTTCCTCCCCCACATGGACAACGCATTTCAAAAGCCAAGAGTGGCCCTGGCTGGTGTGGGCACAGTGGATTGAGTGTCAACCGGCGAGCCGAAAGGTCGCTGGTTCGATTCCCAGTCAGGGCACATGCCTGGGCTGTGGCCCAGGCCCCCAGTAGGGGGCGCATGAGAGACAACCACACATTGATGTTTCTCTCCCTCTCTTCTCTCTCCCTTTCCTTTTCTTTAAAAATAAATAAATGAAATCTTTTTAAAAAAAAGAACATAAAGAATAATCACAAATCACCTTTAAAAGAGCAGAGCCGTTCGGCCCCCGGACACTCGAGTCACTTCCCGATGACGGAACACATCCCGACTGTCGGACAGTTACGTGGGGAAACCCTCCCCATTTCTGAATGGCGTCCCGAGTCGGCAGAACGCCCAAAACCACCGACGGTGGACGGCGACCGCACAGGCGTTCATCCCGCCTTATCCCTCCCCTTCCTGCTTTCATAATCTCAAAATGTTTGAGTATATAATTTTCAAAAAACAGTGTCTTGATCACTTTCAAGGGCAAAACAAACCCCCCAGTACAGGTTTGATCCGAGCTTTCAGTCCACAGCTGCCACCAGACAGCACGGGCCTTGGGAGGACTGACCCCATGGCGCGGCCAAATCCACACGGAACCGCGGACGGCCGACTGTGGGCCCGCACCGACACACAGTCGGTCAACACGCCTTCCGCAGCCGTGTGAGTCGTGTGCCGCCCTCTCACAGTAACGTGAGCTGGAGCGAAACCTCGTCACGAGACGGTAAGGGAGAGGAACTGCGTTTGCCCAGCCCCGCAGCTGCGATCCTCCAGGAGGGGAGCCGGCCCGCAGCGGCGCGCAGGAGGTCCGCAGCGGCGCGCAGGAGGCCCGCAGGGACGTGCACGGTCCGCCTCAGCGGCAGTGCTCCCCACACCACTTTCGGGAATGGTGGTTTTTTGGGGGGCTCTGCCAAGGGTCAGATCGGAAGGGGCCCTGCAGAAGCCTCCTCTGCCCATGGAACCGCACGACCTGCCCCCACACAGAGGTCGCAGGAAGGAGCGGGGCAGGGTCGCGCTGAGGACCGACCCAGCGAGCGTCAGATCCGGAGGCATGCAAAGGCGGCGTGGGGAGGAGGGGGTGCCCGAGAGAAGAGGAAAGGACAGGGGCCCCAGGCTGCGGTCCCCACGGCTGGAGCAGCTGCCCCGCACCTAATAACCCTGTGTCGTTGCTCCGGAGGCTCCAAAGGGCTTTCACGGCCCGCCGGGCCACCCACTCGAAGGTGGAGTCCCCCAGCAGCCGGCTCAGGATCCCGAACTCCACCAGCAGGGAGCCGGCTCCGGCCGTGCAGGTCTCGTTGTTGCTGTCGGGAGGGACGCCCGTCTGCAGGTTCACCTGGGGGCCGGGGGAGACAAGGACGCAGGCTCAACTCTGGGGACCCTCGGGGCTTGAAGGCAGGGCCACAGCTGCCACACTGCACTACGGGCCAGGCCTACTGCAGCCACTCAGCTCACCGCCTTGCTCTGCCACCGGGACGGAAGGACAGTGTCAAAGACACAAACAGGGTGACAAGGACAAGGGAGCCTCGTGTGCTGGGAAGAGCAGCCTCAGGGGAGTCGTCAGAGGGCTGATCGCTAGTCCCCCCATTCCCGCAGGTGCTCCACGTGGTCACACGGCGCCGGGCCAGCCACGGGAGGCCAGGCCAGCCGGGACCGCGTGCGTGTCAGCAACGGGCCGGGGGCGCACTCCTGCTTGGAGAGCGCGGACAAATCCCAGGCTGCAGGCGAGGGGACGTGGCGACCCGCGGCAGACCGTCCGGCACTGAGGCGCCGTGGGCCCGGCCACGCTCGCTGGTCACCCCAAAGGCTGACCCGATTCCCGGAGGAGCCCGGGCATGGCAAGTGAGAACCCACAGGAGGAGACTGAATTCTAGACCCTGCGCCGAGCCCGGCAGCAACCCGGCTGGCGCGGGCAGGCTGCACGGGGCAGGTCCGGGGGAAGGGCCTCCCTGGGCTCCTGCAGCACCCACGGGAGGGTCCGGGGAAATGCACCCAAGCTGGAGATGAAGACGGGCCCCAGACTATGCTGTGGCAGGGGCGGCACCCCCGCGGCCCGGACAACATGGAGTGTAGGAACGCCTCTCCTTCCTTGAGCGGAAGGGTCACATCCAGGGTGTCCCCGAATGCCCAGCACACAGTAGGTGCTCAGCAAGTGCTAAAAGAACTGAAGAACATTTACGTCACATTCAGGGCATCAGCCCCTGCCCCGCCCACCCCGGCCCACCGGCAGAGACCCCCGTGCAGGAGGGTGATGGGGAGGCGGGGGCGGCCTACCCGGGGGTAGGGGATGCCCGTCCTGGTGTTCTCGAAGGCCGGCAGCAGCCGCACGGCCAGGTCGCGGGCCATGTGCAGCAGCTCGTCGTCGTAGTCCTCGACCGCCATGTCCCCGAAGGGCTGCTTGGCGTCCGTGATTATCCTGTGGGCCGAGAGCAGGCTCCCCAGGACCCTGGGGGCGGGGGGGAACAGAGGGGCACGAGGCGCGTGGGTCAGACGTGTGCGCGTGGCCCGGGTCGGGAAGACACCGCGGCCGCCGTGACTCTGGGGGCCTCTGGGTGCGGGACAGGGAGGCCTGGGTTTCCTGGCGTTCCTCCAGCCCCAGCGATAACGGCCGCTTCCGGCCGGCCGAGGTGCCGGGAGGCGGCGAGGGAGCGTGACCCCATGCCACGTGGCAGCGGGGCCTGTCCCCTTGACCCCTCACCCGGGCGAGGGCGAGGGTCACTCCCAGAATAAACGCTGCCTCTCAGTCTAACGGTCACTCTGGGTTTCTCCCGCTGGGGAAACCCCGGTGCCACCAGAGAAGAACTGGGCAGGAGACAAACACAGAGTCCCTGTTCTTGCTTCGGCTGCCGAGCAACTGATGGGGCAGGGGCCGGGGGCAGGGGCGGAGGAGGAGGCCAGCAGCTTAGACCCGGCCCCGAAAAGCGGTGAATTCATGTCCCCCCTCCAATTCGAACTGCACTGTGACGTGCTTTCACAATTTTAATGTCAAATAAACGGTATCTCTGGAACATTACGCAGTCAGGCAGTTTTAAAAAAGGGAACGGAAACAGTCACCAAGTATTGGGCTAAGGAGGCAGGGTCCCCCCCCCCCCGCCCCCGCGGCAGAGGCGGGCCGTGCCTGGGACACAGGGAAGGGAGGAAGTGAGACCAGACCTGCACTAAGGGGGCGCTTCCTGCTCAGCCCAAAAAGCAACGACTCCGAAATGTCAGTTGCCGCGGGTCTGACAGAGCCGAGAATGAAGACGCAAGTGGCCAGAGCGCTGCACGCGCCCATGGCCCCGCTCTCCTGGCCAGGGGACCCTCCCGGGCAGCCCCGACCTCCCGCACACACGGGGACCCTCCGTCACCGTGGGGCTGGGTTACCTTATGGTGGCCTCAAAGACTTGGACGGTGGAATCCTTGTCGAATGAGACTGTGTTGATCACTAACTTGACTGCTTTCTGGAACTCGGATGAATTTCCCATTATCTTTAAAAAGAGGAACACGAACCGTTAGGACAGCCTGAGGCCGGGCGGGAGCGGAAGGGCCGCAGGGCTGCAGGGCCGCGCCGCGTCCCCTGGCGTCTGCGTGGGGCAGGAACGCCCGGTGAGCGCCCGGAGCTGCGCGAGGACGCACGGCAAGCCGCTTCCTCCGACGGCGCGGCCGCGTCTGCCAACGTGCACAGGGTCCCCCCTTGCCTATAGATTACGGGCGCCCTCGCCTGCCCCTTCCACACTCCCTCGTAGGGGGCGTTAGAGGTCCTCACACTCTGGAAATGGCAGAACGGGAAGAAACACAGACACGACCTCCCCTCTGCCCCTCAGACACACCGACAGCCGGGGCGCTCGGCTCCGGGGAGGCCCAGACGCCCGAGCACCCGGAGAAGGGGCAGCCCTGTCCCTGGGAGCGAAACGTCACACCAGCGACGTGCGAAACCAGCACCAGGACAGCCGGCTCTGTCCCCCTACGAGTGAGCCCCGGAACCCCCCCGGCCCCTGCTGGGCGCGCCGGACGGCTCTCTCCCACGCGACACGCGAGCCGGGCACCGGCACGTCCAGAGCCCCCTGAACTGGAACGCTTCGTGCTGTCCGGAGCTTCGTGACGCCACGAGCACGCACAGAGGAAGAGCATGTCACTTCGCTCGGACACTGTTTCCCGCAGGTGCGCCGGAGTCCGGCACGACCTGTCCGGGGGGGCCCTCCCCCACTTCTAGTTCCCTGGGCCGCACAGACCAGTACAGACACCCCGCTTCTGGCCCGGAAGCTCTTCCTCTGTAACAGAGCGCGTGGTCGGGCTGCGGGCTGCACCCCAGGCCAGGAGGCTGCTCTCCTCGAGGGGCTCTGCTCTGCCTCGCCGGCGTGCCCGGCACACCTGTGGGAGCCTGTTTGCGACGTTACCAAAGAAGAGGAAAACCTCAGCGGAGGCAGCCCCGAAGAGGCGAGGCTGAGGTGTGAACGCAGCAAAGGCCGGACGCTGTGCAACGCGAACCACAGAGGGGGCCTGTTTCCTTCCAGATGCGCGCCAGCATCCGCAGCCGCCAGCCTGCTCCCGCTCACGTGGGAGGTGGAGGTGGAAGCCCCCACAGCAGCTCGGGGCGGGAGGTCACCAGGACAGACGGCAGGTCTGAGACCCCCGCTCTGCTCCGGAGGGCAGCACGGGGCAGGGGGGCAGGGGGGCCGTGGGGCTCTGAGCCGTGGGGCTCCAGAGCCTCCAGAGCGCTGGGGCGCACGTGCCCCTCCAGCAGCAGGACGGACGTGCAAACTTCGCAAGTTCCCCTGGGGACAGCACTCTGCTTCCAGGGAGGACGCCCCTGGGGTCTGTGCTGGGAAGTGCCGGGTTGGCAGGAATCCGTTCTTGGGACACAGACTTGCGGTGAGCGACGGAGAGGGGCCCGAACTCGGTGAGCGTGGCCGGGGCGCAGAGACGCACGGGCCAGGAGAGCCGGGCCCCGCAGCTGTGCCGGAGTCCGGGGACTCGGTGACGCAGCCCCTGGGCCGAGTCAGCTCCGCCTGGGCTGGAGGGGCCGGTCGGGGCACGTTTGGGGGTGGGCGCTGGAGTCGGGGCGATAAATGTGGGAGCAGGTGCTGGGAAACCAGCGTCGCGCTCCCCCAGCCGGGGGTGGGGGGGACCCCACCCGGATTCCTCGGGAGCCGAGGGCCTCCTGGGACGTAGAGGCTCTCGCAGGCCCCTTCCAAGTTCTGGGGCTGCTCCCGCGCAGCAGAGTCTGACGCAAGCCCCGCCGGCCTTGCGCAACCCTCGCTGCGGACGCTCGAACCCCACCCCCCCAGGAGAGTGAGAGTAGGCGTAAGCCACTGCTCCCGGGATGGGGGCCCAGGTGGCAGGGGTGGTCTCCGCGACGGCGGGCTGGACCGTGAAGGGTGAAGGGGAGACAGTCCACAGCGCTGCCCGGGGCCCGGTCCCTGGGGGCTGTGCTCGCTCACGGGGCCCGGAGACCAAGCACCCCTTCCGCCCGGTCGCCAGCACCTGCCCCAGGGCTGGCTGCTTCCCACGGGCTCAGCGAGTCTGGCCCAAGGTCGTCCGCTCCCCAGAGCCGGCGAGGGGCCAAGGCAGCACCCACAGAAGCAGCACGAAAAGAAGGTCCCCAGAGAGGTGCCGATGCAGCCAGATGGGGCGCCCACAGGCTCCAGGGCCCAGGGGTGGGACAGTGTATCAGGGGACCTACCGACCCCGAGTTCTTCTCTCTTCCTCCTGAAAGCTTTTTACAGCTGCCCAAGTTCACGGTCACTGCAAGCTTTAATGACATGCTCTTTCGACTCTTTGAGGGAATACAATAGTGGGAGACTGGGAGAGAAACGGATTCCCCCCAAGCACCCCACTTTCCTGTCCACTTTTTAGGGGGATCCCGTTCCCCTCGTCTCTCCTCCGAGGCTGTTCTTGCCCCAGGAACTGAGGTTGATAAGAGACTCAAGTCTGAGAGCTAGGAATCCAGTTTGAGTGCCAGGTTTGCGGCAATGCCCATCCTTGGGGAAACCAGGGTTACCAAGCTCCAAAGCACCTTAATGAACTAAAAACAAGCACATGAGGCTGGACACTCACCGCGAGCGTGTCCAGCGCGTCCACCAGCGTCAGCGAGTAGTTGCCCAGGACGTCGTTGATGTTCAGGTTGGAGCTGAAGGGAGGAAAAGCCGGTGGACAGAGGTGCTTCAGTGCGAGAGGGAAGACGGCGGCACAACCCCACGGCCGTCAGCGACCACGATGGGCGGCGAGTCTCGTGTCTCCGGGGGCTGACACGAGTCGGGGTGAGTGAGGTCGCCCCCTCCCACATGACCCGTTTCTGTGGGGCCTGCGGGTGGGATCGGGACCCAGAGCCGCAGAGGACACCTCCACCGCAGGGGACAGGGGACCCGGCCGGAAGTCAGCGTCGCCTGCCACCTCTGGGGCGCCCTCTCGTCGCCCTGAGTGATCTCTCTGCTCAGCTCCCACGGGCTCTGATCCTGAAACCACTCGGGCTGCGGAATGGAAGGGGTTAAGGGTCCCATGCAGGGCCTGCCCCAGACACACGTGTGCAGGCAGGCAGGCAGGCAGGAGAGTGGGGGAGTCAGCCACTCCTCCGTCATCACCCTCTGACCCGGCCTGGCGGTGGGGTCACTCAATTTCCTCCCCCCGTCCCCCGACACCTCACCCGAAGAATCGCCCCAGCTCCATGGATGCTGCGATGGGCTCTCAGGGAACCGGACAGGAGCTGCGTGCCTCCCCCTACCCCACCCACATCGACAGGGCTCCCCTCTCTGACACCACCCCGAGACCCCAAGACGAGGGTGGGGCCCCCCGGCACTCTGACGGCCGCCCTGACACTGCCTGTGAGGATGACGACCCCCGCCCCCGGGCGGGCGGGGAGGGGGAAGCAGTGCGTGTCATCCCGGCAGCCCGGCAAGTTCTGGGGGTGGCGTGGGGTTCGGGGATCCCGCTGCCCCACCCCACAACCCGGAGCAACCGCAGAAGCCCGGGAAGATGAACGTGAGGGAGGAGTACGACGGCTATCCACAGGCCGAAGTGGCAGAGCCCCAGGTCTGCCGTCACCGGTGTTCTGGCGTCTTCCGTCACCCCAGGCCGCTCTGTCTCCTCCCTGGGACACTCCCCCGGGCCCTCGTCCCGCCTCCTTGGCCGGTCCCATGGCCTGGCAGGGAGCAGGCGGCAGCTCCACGTGGCAGGCCCCCTGTACCTCCCGGAGCCCCCCTGGGTGCCTTGTTCTATGATGTTGTGCCACTTAGTCCGGGCAACGCCCGGACGGCACATTTTAGGCCCATTTAAAACAAGCTTGTGCCCTGGCTGGCATAGCTCAGTGGATTGAGCTCAGGCTGCGAACCAAAGTGTCACAGGTTCGATTCCCAGTCAGGCCACACCCCCCAGCAACCACACATTGATGTTTCTCTCCCTCTCTCTCTTTCTCCCTCCCTTCCCTCTCTAAAAATAAATAAATAAATAAATAAAATTTAAAAAACAAAGAAAAAAAACAAGCTTATGTAGAAAGCTCTCTAGGACGGACTGAAATCCCGCCCTGCCTGCTTCTTCTGTTCATCCACGCTTTTTTCTTAAGATTTTATTTATTTATTTTTAGAGAAAGGGGGAGAGAGGGAGAAAGAGAGGGAGAGAAACATCCATGTGTGAGAGATACACGGACCGGTTGTCTCTCACACGCCCCCAACCAGGGACGTGGCCCGCAACCCAGGCATGCGCCCTGACCGGGAATCAAACTGGCGACGCTTCGGTTGGCGGGCCGGTGCTCAGTGCACTGAGCCACACCAGCCCGGTGTACAGAGCTGTAGAAGGCCCTCGGCAGAGGAGAGCTGTGGGCCGGAGTACGCGCCGCAAGGGCGCTGCCCGCTGTTTGGCGTACAGGGTCGGGGCAGAGCCGGGGGAGGCCAAGGCAGGCGGGGGCAGCCTCACGCCCAGCCCTGCGCGCTCCAGACCCTGTCCGGCGCCGGCACCGGACCACACGGCTCTGCTCTCCGAAACGAAGAGGCCTTGGACCAGCCAGCCACCCTGTGACGGTGGCCCCTCGCCAGCGAACATCCCCGCCGGGTGGCCGCTGCCTTCCCTCGCTTCACTGCGCCTCTCCTTTCGGGCTGCGAGCAAAGGGGACCCGGTTTTCAGACACCCGCTGATGCAACACCCAAGCAGACGCCGCCGCCGAGCCCTCACACGCGCTGCCACGGCGACCACGCCCTCGCAGGGACGGGGTCCTTCTCCCCCTCACTCAGTCAAACCCACTCACGGAGCTGCGGCACCGGGGGCAGCACCAGGCCCGCGGGCCGAATCCGGCCCTCCACCTTGTTTCCACCCAGCAGCACCGAGCTCCTTGCCCCTAGTGAAGGAGCAGCGACATTGATACAGTCTTAAAATGACACTCGGCCTCTGGAAGGCCACTGCGAGGCTGGTGTGGCCCCCGGGGAGAATGACACCCGGACACCCCTGATAAGGTTTCGTTAAAACACTTTTACCTCTTTTCTATCAAACAAGTGCTGTCTACGTGCTTTCAGAAATGTGCCACGGTGGAGAAAAACAGCGGAGGGGAGGGAAGAAAGGGGCAGGCTCCGGAAAGCCCTCTCGGCCCAAACCACCGAACCGCAGCGAGTCCCTCCGTGCCAAACGCCCGTGCCGGTGAGAACGTGGGTCTGCTCTCCGCGGAGACTCCTGGCCGCCGGCCGCTGCCTCGACCCCTCGGCCCCTGGACCCCGTCTCCGTGCCTCAGGTCGAGCACTGCCCCCCGACCCCCCAGGTGCCAGGCCGGGCTCCAAACCCTCCGTCTTCCCGCCACACTGGTGGGCCGCGCCGTGGTGACGCAGAATTCCGCCCCCCGACTTCATGACCTTCTCCTCACTACGCACTGTTAAGGCCCTCGATAGACAATTTTCGATCACCTAGGTAACCAAATCGGACATGTTTGAAAAAAAAATCTCCCACACATACGTAACCTGCGCCGGCTGCTCGGGAGTCTGCCCGCAGCTGGGTGGGCGCAGAGGGGACCTAGGGAGCAGCCCTGTGCCCCAGGCGGGGCCTGGGGGTACTGGGGGCCGGGGGCTAGGGGGGTGGACAGGCAGGGGGCTAAGGACTCAGGTCTCAGACGATGCCAGAAGCTGGGCGGCAGCTCGAAGGGAAGCAGCCCAAGGAGCTCGGACTCAATCCAGGAGAGTCATCTGCAAACGGGTCAGCGGGGTCACGGAGGGCGCTTGGGCCCGACCTCCAGGGAGGACGGGATCTAGGAGGGAGCGAGGGGTGCAGATGAGACCCTCTTAAGGGGGGGGGCGCCTAGGAACGAGCTGGTTTGGGGGCTGGAGGTTTGCCTGTTTGTTCGAATGGCGGCAGAGTTTGGGAGGAAGTAAAGAAGCGTCGTGTGCCCCAGACCCAAACCAGCGCTGTTCGCGGGATAGCAAAGTGTACTCGAGTTACTCGAAGGAGATTGTTTTTTTAGATTTCATTTGTTTATTTTCAGAGAGAGGGAGACGGAGGGAGAAAGAGGGGGAGAGAAACATCAGTGTTGGCTGACTTTTGCACGCCCCCACCCAGGGATCCGGCCTGAAAGCCAGGCACGTGCCCTGACGGGGCATCAAACCGGCCACCCTTTGGTTTGCAGGCCGGCACTCAGTCCACTGAGCCACACCAGCCAGGGCTGGAAGGAGCTTAAAATGTGGGCCCTCCACCCCAAACTGGGGATGTGAGAAGAAGTGACTTTGCATAGTAATCTGTAGCTGGACAGAAAGACTTGCTATTTTTAAAGGGTTCAGGTTCTATTAACTTCATGTTAACTGCTCCCCTGTCGCTAGTCAAACAAGACGGTGAGGTGAGCCTGGAGAAAGTGTGACTAAAAAAAAAATGTAAATAAAGATACACATGTTTAGCACCCATATTTTGTTTCTAAACCTTTTACATAACATTCAATTAGCGACAACACTCTATATTTTAAAAAGGAATCCTGCCCTGGCTGGCGTAGCTCAGTGGATTGAGCACGGGCTGCGAACCAAAGTGTCACAGGTTCGATTCCCAGCCAGAGAACATGCCTGGGTTGCAGGCCACGGCCCCCAGCAACCGCACATTGATGTTTCTCTCTCTCTATCTCCCTCCCTTCCCTCTCTAAAAGTAAATAAATAACATCTTTAAAAAAAAAAGGAATCCTAAGAATGCATTTGACAGCAATCACTGGAATACATTTGATTTTTTAAAATGTTGGGCCCTGGCTGGTGTGGCTCCGTGGACTGAGCACTGGCCTGCGAATCAAAGGGTCCCCGGTTCGATTCCCTCCGGGACACATGCCTGGGTTGTGGGCCAAGTCCCCAGCTGGAGGCACTCGAGAGGCAACCACACATCAATGTTTTTCTCCCTCTCTTTCTCCCTCCCTTTCTCTCTCTCTAAAAACAGATAAACAAAATATTTTTTAAAATAAAACATTGAAAAGATTTCTGTTACAGGGTAATTATTTTGCAGATGAGAACACGCCCTGTTGTTTCAGAGCAGAATGACAAAGCGTGGGGTCTGAACGTCCCTGGGAAACACTGCAGTCTGGGCGGAGTTCAGGTGAGGGAGGGGACTGAGAAAACGCAACCTGGCCCACTCAGCCCAGTGGGAGAGTCTACTCACGGCCCCCACACCCGGGCTCTTTCGCCTCCTCAAAGACTCCAACTCCAGCCCCGACCCAAACACCACCCTTCACACACTGTCTTTGCAACAGCCTACGTGTCTCAAGCAACCTGACCTCAATCTCCCCACAACGGTATGGTGCAATGAAACCGAAACACTTGCCAGCAGGCTTACCCCCAAACCGAAGGCCTGCGCCACCCCGGACTGCCGCGGGGACCAGCGAGCCTGCCAGCTGCCCGCTCCCCCCCGGCGAGGGGCTCTCAGGTTCACCAAGAAACGCACAGAAATGTCGCCGGCTCACTCTCTGGACCACCAGCGTCCTAACTGCAAGCGTTACCTATCGCAAGTCCTCACTGAACGGCTGTCCTCAGGTCACCCCAGAAAGAGGAAATCAGAGAAAAAGTCTCCGAGAGGCAAGAGGGTGTTTTTCAACGTGTCCTGTCTCTTCTTATAACCCGACGAGCAGGAGGGAAAAAATACTCAGATCCAAAATATGCGCACACGCTGGGATTTCAATGCCGTAAAGAACGTGTAGACACGGGCAGGCGTGGGCAGGAAAGGTCACTTAAAAATAACTGTCTGGTGGCATTTTAGGCTTTCTTTTTTCAAATTTTAATTTTTCTCAAAAAATTAAGATAAAAAGAAAAATATATAGGCTTAAAAGCCAGTATAGTTCAGCAAAACAAATAACTCATTAATTCCCACAATCTGGAAAGGCCCAGTAACTTTTTTCAAAATTTAATAAAACTTTTTCTTTAAAAAAATTTTTATTGTTAAAATAAAAAATATTTTTTATTTATTTTGTAAATTATTATTATTATTTTTTTTTTAGAGAGAGGGAAGGGAAGGAGAAAGAGAGGGAGAGAAACATCTGTGTGTGGTTGCCTCTCATGTAGCCCCCTGCTGGGGACCTGGCCTGCAACCCAGGCATGTGCCCTGACTGGGAATGGAACCGGTGACCCTTTGGTTCGTAGCCCACGTTCAATCCACTGAGCCACACCAGGCAGGGCTTAATAAAGCTTTTTCTTTAAAAAAAAAAAAAAAAAAAAGGATAGAAAATACATTTAAGTGTATAAAGACTGATACAGAAAAGCGAGAAAAAGATCAGTTTCCTCATCAGTTTCCTCCCGTTGTGGACAGGCCCAGCCCTTCCTTGGAAGACCACCTGGGACCTGACCCCGAGCCCCTGAAAATCGCGCTCTCAAGCTGCAGTGGAAGACGTCCACTGGCAGGGAAACAAACCTTTTTAAAAAACTCTCCAGTCCCTTTAGGCTCCTTTCCAGGACCCGAGGACCGGGCTCGCCTGCTTCTCACCAGGTGAGCACAAACATGTGTGGGCACCGTCCAAAGGCACCCACGGGGCGCGGTCCCCAAGGACTGAGCAGCCTGTCTGCTCTGCTTCCACCTTCGGGGGGAGGGGGGAGATCCAGAGGGAGGCAGTCACCCATCGGGCCGGCAGGGCCAGTGACAGGGCGCACCTTCCCTCCCGAGGGGAGGTCCTTAGCTGGGTGTGTTGTCCTCTTGGACTCTGAGGTCAGCAGCGGTGGCCCCTGAAGCCCGGCCTTCACAAACAAGGGGCACTGGCTGACCTTCGCCGAGGGCCCTGCCACCAGAGTGGGGGAATTTGTGGGACGCACATACAGGGCAACACGCTGACAGGCAGCTCAGGGGCCAAGGAATCGCACCCTGAGTATCAGGACCCCAAATCTGGGCCAGACGGCCTCTCCCTTCACCTGAGTATCTGCAGCCTAAGAAGCAGCCCCATGATGAGGGAGAAAGGGTGTCGCCCTGTTCTGCCTCCAACTCCCTGCAGGGCTTTACAGAAGTCCTTTCCCCGGGTCAACTCCTGAATTCTTATATTTTTAGGTAGAAAAGCTAGGGGTGGGGAGAGAGATAAGGGCTTGTTTCGCAGCTGCGTTGACAAGGGCTTCATTTTACTATACGTTCATCTGAAGAAGGCTGGAGAGGGGAGTCTGAAGCCCCTCAAGTCACCGCTTGGCATTGCCCCTGTCCCTTCCGGGCCCCGGGCCTCAGTTCCCCCATCTGTAAAACAGGCTGCGCTGGGCGGCTGTCCCGTAGTTCCCGATTCCAGGATAATCAAGAAAGAAGGCAGCCCCCGGCCCACCCAGGCACCGCAAGCCCAGGGGCCTCAGGGGACCGGCCAAAGCGGCGGGGGCGCCGGCCCAGGACCCTAAGCGCCTGGCTTTCCCTGGATCACCGGCGGGCACAGGGCAGTCGCACGCGGAGGGCTACTTACGGGTCTCCGCGGTCAGGCCCACGGCCGCGGCAATCTATGGGGTTGAGCTCGTCCTGCGGAAAGGCGTGCGCCATGTAGTTGTCGTAGCCGAAGACGAACATGCCCCGCGCCAGGTCGCGCATCTGGGCACGCAGCTGCGGCGGGAAGGCGCCGCTATAGCGCCGCTCGTACTCGTCCGGGCCGCGGCCACGGCCGCCCAGCACGTCTCCCCAGTGCGCTGGGCCGCACACGCCGGGCCGCGGTCGCCGCGGGGCCCGCTGCCGCCCCGCCGGCGACCGGGGACCCGGCGACTGCAGCCACGACGGCCCCGTCGGGTCCCCGGGGGTCCCGGGCTCGTCCGCCGGCTCAGGGGCGGGAGACGCAGGGCCGTCGGGGCCCGTCAAGCGTTGGAAGCTGAAGCTGAGCGGGAAGCGCTGGTAGAAGCCCATGCTGGGCCCCAGCCCGAAGACGAGCCATAGCGCTCCTTGGAGGCCAAGCCGCAGGAGCAGCAGCCCCAGGACGAGCGCTCGCCATTGCATGGTCTCGCGGAGGCCGCAGGCATCCTCCTAGCGCGCGGGGCCTTCCGCCACCGCACCCGCGCCGCCCGCTGCCTCGCTCGCTTCCCCTTTAAGGAACTCCGGGGTGACGCACCAGGAACCGGCCCATTGTCTCCCTCCCCCAGCCCCTCGGGCCTGGCCCGCCAGGCCTCGCGTTCGCCCGCCCGGTCGCCCGGGATTGGCCCGGCCCGGCCCGGCCTCGAGGGGTGCGGCGCACGGCCTCCCGCGCCATAGGTCGCCCGGACGTCCTGGAGCCCCGCCCGCTCCGCCCGAGGCCGCACCCGGGCCTGGCCACGCCCACACACTTGGCCCCACCCCTGGGCGGTGCAGAGTCCCGACGGGCTGGCGTGGCGAGTAGAGGCCGCTCGGACTCCGGGCGACGGAACTTCCAGCCAATGGGAGCGCGGCACGGGAGCGCTCGCGGGACGCAGGACGGAGACGTGGGTCCCGACCCAAGCGCCGGGCGGAGCTTGAACAGGACAGAGCCGTCCCCCTGTAGGTCCGGGGTGGTGACAGTTTAAATATGTAAGGAAAGAGGAGGGACAGGGCCATTTCTGTGTAGACGGAGCTACTTTGCATAGCAAAGGCAGAGTTAAATTTTTTTTTTCAATTACAGTTGACTTTCAGTATTATTTTATGTTACTTCCAGGTGTACAGCATCGGAAGGGTGTGGTTAGCCAGTCCTATACTTTACAAAGTGAACCCCCCGATATTTTCAGTGCCCACCTGACACCATACATAGTTATTACGACGTTGGCCATATTTCCTATGCTGTTTTTTACATCCCCGTGTTTTGTAACTACCGGTTTGTATTTCTTAATCCCTTTACCTTTCCCCCAGAAGGGCAGGGTTTTTAACTTGCCTGTTTATAGCGAGGGGTAGGATACTACTTTGTAGCTCCAGATTGCACCCAACCCTAACCTGAAGTCTGCTCTTTTTATGAGAACACTCTAGTTTTTTAAGAACCGCTCCTATAGTGTAAAACATACGTTCCCAGATCCGGTCCCACACCCGCCGGACTCCAACGGAGGTTCCCGGCAATGTGCGTTAACAAGTGCTCTTGGAAGATTCTGAGCATCTGGCAATTTCAGGAAATACTGAGTTAAGTTGTATTGCCTTGGTCTCCAAATAAGATCTTTTAAAAGCAGCAGGGGCAAAGTGGGAGGGGACAAGACTGCTGCCACCGCCGACTGATTTTTACCAGATCTGCCGAACCAGGTCCCCTCCCGCCCCTCCCACTCCCACCGAGTCTCCCATGTGCCGCAGCTGTACCCTAACCTCTGAGGTGTGGGCTAGACCCCGGATCAGATCACTTTACCCCTCACATGTTGGCTGTGAAGGGCTGTGGCTTTTGTGCAGTGATTCAACAGAGGGTTTGTCTCCTTTGGTTGGCTGCGTCTGGTGACGCCTGCTGAGCTTTGCTCTTTAAGTTTAGACTGTGTGTCCGTTAGGCCAGGGTCCCGAGAAGCTTGGGAAGCAAGGCCTGATGGGAGTCCCAAATCACAGACTGGCTGAGTGACCAAGGGAGCGAGCAAGAGGATGATAAAGTTCTCATGTGGCACGCTCGTCACAGTCTCAGGGTCACGGGACTTCTTGCAACACAGAGGAGGTGTAAGGGAGACTGGAAAGGAGCCCAAAGAAACATTTAATCACAGCACAAGGTCTAATGAAAACAAATCTCTTCTCGTAATGGAAGAAAATCACCCAAGTTATGAAAGATGCTTTTTATGGTAAGACTGACAACAGCTGCCAGTTGCATACGTCTTGTGTGTTTTTCAAAATATTTCACGTATGTTTTCATTTGCTCTTCACCGAAACCTTGTCAGGTCTGTTCTACACGCTAAAAGGGAAGAAATCGGACGGGGAGCTCGAGTTCTCTGAGTTAATTGGCTCTCCACAGAAAAAGACTGCCCAGGTCTCCCACATGTGTCCAGGGGAAAGTGACTACCACCAGCTGGCCCACAAAGCAGACGGCCTGGTCCGGCTGCTCCTCCCAGCCGCACCCCGGGCAACACCTTTGACATCGGTGCCCTGCTGGGCGCTGGGCCAGGGGCCAGGGTCAGAACAGCGTCTCCTGCTCCAATGACACTGACCCAAATGCAAGTGGAGTACCTACTGCCAGCCCTTTGGGTCAGACCAGAGCTCCCTTCGAGGTCAATGTGTCTGGTGAGACTGGAACCACACCTGCATCTAATCACACAACCCGGCCTGAAACATCGATCCTTTTAAGAAACTCAGTTTGTTTTGTGACAGGTTTTTCTGCACATAATCTCACAAGAGTGCCGCAGGACAGATAAAAAGACTCAAAACGAAGTACATGAAACTGAAATACACGGGGGGAAAACGGATTTACTCGGGGGGCTGACGAGAAGACGACAGCCGAGAACCCAGACTCCCAAGGGTGGTTGCCAGGGGTGTTCAAACCACAGCTCTGCCTGCCGAGTGACCTCGAGAAGTTACTTCTCCGGACCTGTCTGCTCACCTGCGAGCCAAGGGCGCCGAGACCAGCGCTCGCCGTCATGCGCGGTCGTGAGGCTGAGCTTATTTAGCGTGAGGCAGACACCGACAATGGGGCCACGCGCCTGGCGAGCCCAGTGACGACTGCCCTTCAGCTCGGGACTCCGGAGTCTGTTCAGAGCACCTGGTACAGATAAACCTGAGGCCTGTCGGATGAATTAAACTAAGCCCCTCCTACTTTCAAAGCCCTATTTTAGCAGGGAGAAATGGGTCAAAGGGAACAGTATAAAACAGGGCAAGGGCTAAGACGCCGCGGTCCGAGAACAGCTGAGAAAGCCCTGCATCGTGTAGTTCTGTTCCGGCCCGACTCCACTCAGCCGGCGCCAACTCCGACACGCCACTGCCCCACATCTCCGTGGGGTGGGGTCACACCCCGCAAGGCGATCCAAGTTCAGCCTGCCTCTCTGTTGAAGGAGGTGACCGGGCTAGCGTGGGTTCCCGTGCCTTGGAAGACATTCTCCATGGTGCGGAAATGGGGACGTCCCCGTTCTCAGAGCTGGTCTCACCAGTCTGAGCGCATGGGTCAGCGCGCCAGGGTCCCGAGCCGCAGCCAGAGGGAGGCTCTGCCGGGTCCCAGGTCCCGGAGCTGGAGTCAAATATCGGGGTCAACAGAGCCTATGAAAGGGAGAAGTGTTCCTATCCTAAGAAGTTAGAAATACTTTGTTATCCAAAGTAGTGACGTTAAAAATGCAAGTAATGTGATGATGGCTTTTAAAACCGATTTTTGTGTCTTTCTGAAGCAATAGGTAGGTACTTCAGAAGGGGGTGGCAATCAACTTAAGTGAAAAAATAGATACATAAAAGGGGGGTGACCTGTAATCCCACTATTAGTTTGGTGAAGAGCAAATGCCAGAAATAAGGCAGTGTTTTCCCACAGCTCGGCGAGAGAGCCGAATCGCACATTTGGTTGAAAACTGAACAGCGCACAACTGTCCCCACTGACTGGACAGGCAGGAAGCCGTGTCTGTCGGCGCACTGCCGGAGAGACCCCGGGGTCGGAGGCTGGTGGAATAAAAGCTGGCACTCCCGGGAAGGGCGTGTGGCAGCTCCCACCATTGGTACAAACACACTCACCTGCTAACCCGGACACACTTCTGTGCGTGGACACACCTCACGCCGCCATCCGCTGCTGTGCTGCTGAAAAGCAAGGGGCTATCAACACCTGAGTGTCTGTCAGTCAGGCTGGCAAATACACCCTGAGTCCCCGCCGTGAAAAACCACACACATGGGGAAGTGGGGACCCGCGGTCTGCCACTGTGGAAAGGTCGCCAGCACGCGGTGACCAGAGAATAGGCGTGTGCCGATTGGTGGTGCACCGCCTTCCACGTCAGAGGGGGATTGAACAAGAACTGAGCCTGCAGGCTTCGACTTGCTTGTCATCCGTAAGAAGAAACTGATACAGGGGTTCCCCTGTAAGGCCAGGGTGGTGCTTGCTCAGTCATGGGTGGGGCCAAGCGTTCTTGTCTTTTTATATGTATTTTTAATTTTTGAATTGTGGAACTTCACTATTAAAGATCAGTGTGCCCCCAAATAAAAGAGAGTGGTGAGCTTCCTGTCCCACGGAATCAGAAGCAGCCATTACCCGTCAAGAACTGATGTTTACCACCCACATGTCTCGTGCCCTTCGGTTACTGATGCTTTGCTTCCGGATCCTACACATTGACCCCCTTTCCCGGGCGGGGTGAGCTAGTGCTTTCACAGATTGGCTGGTGCCATGGCAAATAACAGCAAGTCCTCTCTCCTTAGAGAACCGTACCAACAGAACAGGAAACACCCTATTCACAGGCTGGGCAACTAGAAAGGACACAGATTCACCAAGTTCAGGGTCTCTAACCCCTCTAGGGTTACAGAAGAGCTGGTGGAGGAGAGAATGCAATTAGCAGCCCTCTGTGTTCTACTTGCCAAGTTCAAAAGGGAACGAATGGTATTGTTGTCTCCCCCCAACCCCCACCCCTGCCCTCATTACTGTCAAAGGAAGTAGCTTCTGAAAACTGGTCCAGGGTTCTCCAAGTCCCAAGTCAATTCTAGCAGAAACTAGCAAGGCAGCAGGTGTGAAGTGTTAAACATTAGTTCTACCGGGGTGTCCAACCCGCGGCCCGTGGCCTGTGGCCCGCACGCAGCCCCGGATGGCTGTGAATGCGGCTGGACACGAAATCGTTAACTTAAAACCTTTTGTTTTGCTCATCAGTTTTCCTTTGTGTTTGTGTATTGAATGTGTGGCCCAAGAAAACTCTTTCTTCTTCCAGTGTGGCCCAGAGACGCTAAAATGTTGGACACCTCTGCACTGTTTACCCGCAGATTGGTCTATGTATTTGTCCACACTGTATACCAATATACAGTTCTGCTTTAACATTTTTAAACGGCTTTAAATAGAAAACCCTGGGCTTGTAGCGATTGTATCCCTTTGCAAAATGTCTGTGGTCCCCAGCCCTTAAGGTAAACATTTCTGTGTTCTGCGTTGTTTTCAAGGGGGAGAAACACGCAGCACTAACGTATCGACAAGGATAAGCTGGCATTTCCATCTGTCTCCTGTTTGACCAGCGTCCCAATCTCTAGGCTGCTAGAACCACAGCTGGTCAGCGGGAGGAATTCCCCACAGGTGACACCGGGGGTGGGGGGGCCCAGCCCCTCGCGGTCACACAGTCGGTCACCAGCGCAGGAGCAGGCTGGTGGGTCCCCGAGCTCATCCGCAGAGCCCAGCTCCAGTGACGGTCCCAAATGGCGACTCGTTTCCACGCCACCCCTTCCTTTCATGACTGCCCCGGTGGAAAAAAATGAGGCTGAAGCACCTTCCCGGGCTCCCGTTCCTGCGGGGAAGCCTGAATTCCCCGAATCAGCGCTGCCTCAACGTTTTCAGGTGGACGGGCCTTACCAAACGCGGGGCGGCGGGGACACGCAGCAGTGAGGTGAGGGGCGGCCGCCGCCCCCGGCTGCAGAACTGCCCCGGGCCCTGCGCCTGGCGTGCCAGCGACCTGAGCCGCTGGCCTCGGTCCCCCTAAGAGCATCCGAGAGGCAGCCGTTCCCAAGCGCCCATTTTGCTGGGTAGCCGAGCTGTACAGAAGCCGTGCGGCGGGTGTCACGGGTCGACAGGAAACACCTGCGGGGGCCCCGCGTGCCTGTCTGCGGAGCGGCTGGTTCAAGGCGGGGGGGGGTCGGTGGGGCAGGTGCTGCCGCGCTGGGCTCCTTGTCAGCGTCTCTGCTGACGACACGGGGCGCGGGGGGCACCCCCTCCGAGGTTTGCAACGCAAGGAGAACACTTCGGACTCAACACGGGCCGGTGTCCCCGCAGTAGCTGACTTCCAGGACGTCGTCGGGCCAAGTGGACGCGGCAGTTACGGCGCTGGCGACAGCGACCCGCGACGTCCACGCCAGCCACGGTCGGCCGGGCCCGGAGGGGCTGGGACCGCCGAGGCCACAGGACGTCGGGGTGACCGAACCCTCTGCGGGTGGGGGGCACACGCAGGCCGTGCGTCCCTCGGCCGGAACGGCGAGCGCCACCTGCAGCGCCCCCCCCCGCCCCCCCAGGCTAACGTACCCGGTTCACCGACAGAGCCGGAGGGGCTAATTTTAGAAGTCTCGATTTCCGGAAGCGGGTACAAACTTAGAACCAAGGGTAAAAAGCAAGCTAATTTTATAACTCTTCCCCCGCCCCCCCGCCCACCACACGCACGCGCTCTCCCCATCGCGAACCCCGGGGATCCCAGGGCGGTGAGAAGAGGGTCAACTGGAGGGCTCCACTAAGTGGCTCCACCAGGTCGGCGGAGGGATTTCACCCTCCGCCGACGGACTGCGGACCCGGGCTGCGCAGGCGCGTGCCCCGCCGGCCGGCAGGTGCGGCTGCGCGGACACACAGAGAGAAGGCCGCGGGGCACTCAGCTCGCTCCTCCGGCAGCCCCGACGAGCTGCAGGCTCCCGGGTGCAGTGCCCGTGCGCAGCGCGGGAGACAGCCGCACGCTGGCTGGCGGCGGCCAACGGCTGCACTTGGGAAGACCACTCCGTTCGACACTGAAGCGCTGTCTTTCTGGGGCAGAGCGGGGCACGTCTTGCAGTTTGTTTACTAGTGGAGCTCTGGGATGATTTTTTAAACAACTGGATCATAAAACGCTGAACTAGCTCTTGCCAGCCTAGGGGCCCTAAATTTGGTGTATCGTGACAGTTCAGTTACTAGTACCTGCGGTGCCCACCCTAAAAAGGAAGTTTTAATCACATGAATATTTCAAAAGTTTACTTCTTGAACTGGCCCCCCAGCCCCCGTCCCTCGCGAGCTGAGCTGGCTTCTCCCGGCCCACGGCCCCTGCTCCAGGGAACTCCCTTCTCTGCCCCCGCCCTGCCGGCAAGAGCACACCCTCCACCGCGACGCGCACGCTTCAGGTTAAAACTGTCGATACAACCCTCAAAATGCAAGTTTATTGAATAAAGCTGAGAAGAGCAGTAAACAGACGGAAATGCATCCACCTAAATAAAAAAATCCACATATGTACAGAGTTCAGTCACGGTGAGGTTTTCACATGCAGAGGTTAGCGCACAGGGAAGCGGCGGCGGCGGCGTCAGCGTCTGGGCGTCCCGCAGCGCTGCAGGCAATGGATGGACAGACACACGGGCGTGTTGAGGTTGGGCTACAGGTCGAGTCGTGGGCCCCTGTGGTCCCTGCAGTCGCACAGTCCAGTCCGGGGTCCTCCTCTCAGGCACGAGCACGGCGCCGCTCCTGGGGCCGAGCCGCAGCAGCCAGCTTATTCGTCCCTGGACTCACAGAGCCGTCGGCCCCGTCGGGGAGCATGTGACGTGCTTCAAAGAATGGGGACACAATGGGAAGGGCCGAGACGCTACTCATAACAAGGGGGCCGGAGGAAAACAAGTGGTGTCTGTGCAACGCACGCTGATGTTACGGCCGCAACAGACTGCTAAGGACAGCGGGTGTCCACAGCGTGCAGGAGCCCAGTGGAACACAAGGGGCAAGGCCGTGGTCGTGCAGGGCCACCCGGAGGCGGGCGAGCCCCACTCGCACACACCACCATGGCCTTGTGAACCCCCGTCACGCGTATGCCAGCGGGAACACATCCCTTCAGGGACTGGAGACCACTCGGCTCCGGAGCGGGCTCGGGGACGTGCCCCCGTCTCCCAAAGGTCGCAGCGAACCGCCGCAGGCCCTTGGTCCCGCATGTGACCGATCGCTCGACAGCCGGCAGACCCTCCGCTGGCCACGTCGGACAAAGCAGCCCGGTCCCCAGATGTCACAAGGGTCACGGTGTCTAGCGGCACCAAGCACAAGGGCGCCGGACTTGCCACCAGTGAGAGAGAAAAGGACTGGCTTTCTGCTCACGAGTGTCTGCGGAGTCTGAGTCGGCCTCGTGACCGACGCAGGAGGCCGGGCGTGCGGAGGGCCGTGCGGCCTCGAGCGGTGGAGACGGAAAGAGCCGAGTCTGACATTCTGAACACGCTTTATTGCATTGGCCGGAACGCTCTCAACTCATAAAGCTTCTGCGGGGCTCTTCCGTTCCCAAACCCTCAAAAAGTGTGTTGAACCAGCAAAAAAAAAAAAAAAAAAAAGAAGAAATAGAGAAGTGATGATCTGGGCAGATACAAACAGCATGCCTTCCTCAGGCCCCCGCGTGGCCCCGCTGCTCCCTGGCGGGGGGGGCTGGAGGTCTCAGGAAGCAGAACGTTGTAAACCCCACCACGTGGGACTGCACCCGCGCAAGGAGCCAGCAGCTCTGACCTGGTGCCCCCGCTCGCACCGCGCGGCCATTTCTGAAGCTGCTAAGGTGCCCAGTTAGACATCCCGCGTGCACGGGTGGGCGATGCAAACGCCGCGCCTATACCCGCCGCGACTCGGCCACGGGCTTCCCAAACGCCGCGTGTGGTGCTAGAAACTCCATGCTGTATCAGGTCGGGACCAGTGTTAAGCTACTAGACTCTATAATGAAATATCGTAGATAGACGCTTACCAAAAACCAATATAAAAACCTGGCCCAGAAAGACCAGAACAGAAATATGCAATTTTCTTGATTTGAGATGGTCAAAAGTATGTTTTTAAAAAGCTCCACACACGGAGAGAGACGCGCGTGTGCGGGCGGCTCTGTGTGCGGACTTGACCATGACGACGCGGGCAGACTCTGGGTTCTGTATGAAGGGTTAGAGACACACGTCTTCAGCAGTGCACATGAGAAACAAACTCGGGAAAAGGCAATTTCTTGGGTTTAGGAAGGACCGTGTTCTGGGAAGTACTTCAGAGGAACGGACAATAATTCTAGGATTATAGCCAGGAAGGACTGGAAGACTTCAGGAGATGCTTTTCAGCTTCTTCTAGATTTTGAGTGTTGAATAAGCCACTGAAGTGTGATATCTAAAGGTGGAGGGAAAAAAAGACATTAAGACACCAAAGTTAAGAAGCTAAACACCAGAGAGAGTATTTGAAGTGCAGGTAACTCCCGGCGCACGCGGGCCCGCCTTGTTCTGCCTCCCCGCGCCTGCGCTGCCGCTCCGGTGCCTGGGCCCTGAGGGGGCCACCAAGGAAGGGCGACCGGACAGTCCAGTGTAACCTGGGTGGGGGTGCTCACGCCACCTTCAGCTCATTCGGGAACCCTCGGACTGCCCGTGCGGTCAGGCACTGCATGCCAAGTCTGGGGACGCAGACACGGGGACGCCCCCTCTGCCCTCGGTGGGCTTCCAGTACCGGGGTCGGGACATGCACGAGTATCTGTGCGGGGCTGGGGGCCGCCCCCCAGAACACTGGGCAGAAGGAACTGTGAGGAGCTCTGGGGGGGCTGGCAGGGACCCGACGTGGCTGGAGCCTCGAGGTGGGGTAGGGTGGATGCCACTCACTGCCACGGCCACAGCAGGGGTTCCCACCGCCCCTTGGGCCGTCAGAGCTGGGTGGCTCTTTGCGGGGCGGGAGGCGGGCCCTCTCCGTGCACAGCAGGGTGTCCTGCACCCCCACGGCCTTCCCCACCGCGTGCCACCACCCCCGTCCTCCCTGGGGTGGGCCATCTCCAGACGCTGCCCAGGTCCCCCGGTGACCCGCGAGCCACTGCAGGATGCTGAGAAACCTGGGTTTCACCCTCAGGCCGACACAAAGCCACAGGAGAGCTCTGGGCAGGGAGACTGCATCGGTTTACTTGGTGCGACTGACAGCGGCAGCGGGCCGCCGCTTGGAGGGCTGCCGGTCTGGAGCCCGTGGCCCGGAGCAGGGCGGTGCCTGAGGCCCAAGGCCAGCCCAGTGCCGTGGGGGCGGGGAGGGGTAATGAGCAGCGCAATTCAGATGCAGGACGACAGGCGCTGGTGCCCAAGTACGTGCAGTGGGTGGCCAAGGACCTTCTGGTCGGAACCAGTGTGTGCCAGAGCTGCCGAGTGACTGGGTGACGGAGGAGGAGCCTTCAGAAGAGACGAAGGGTTCCGTCGCAGGCACCCGGAGCCAGAGGGGCTCCAGAGGGTGCAGTGGCGAAGGTGCAGCTCCGACAGGCGGCTCAGCCGCACGGGTCTGCGGAGGAGATGGAGACCCGCAGGACACTGCCACTCAGGCGGCCCGAGGCCAGCCAGGAAGAGCCCTCAGACGGAGAGGGGACGCCGGCCGAGTCCAGACGTCCGGTTCCCGCCCTCATGTGCTTTCCAGCGCATGAGCTGCGTGACCTGTGTGCGGGCCTCCGGCAGCAGCAGCGCCTCGCGCCGCGTCCCAAGCCTGAGGGGGAGTGCAGAGCCCCGCCCCTGGTTCCCCGCTCACGGGCCGCACGACACAGCCCAGCCGGGCGGTGAGAGGGGAACCCACGTGACTGCCCGCGGACGTGGGGACAGCGAGCTGCCCGGCTGCTGGACAGGTCGCCTGCACTTCAGGAGGGGACAGCCTGCAGTGAGGGCAGAGCCACACTCACGTGCACTGAATGGGGAGAAAGGCGACTCTGAACACCAACCAACCAGGGTTAAGTATTTCTGAAATTCATTAAAAAAAAAACCACACACAAAAACTTGTGGACACGGGACAAAGGGACCCCTGAGACTAGACAGAAAGCAGACAGGAGGTAAGACAAAGGGGCCGCGGCTGTGAGCCATCCTGCAGGGGCGACCTGTGCTGGGTGGGGTCGGAGGGCACATCGCCGACGACAGCTCTCCCTGTGCCACCCTCGGGGGCGGGGGTGTGCCAGACGGGCACGTGCACTTTCCGGAGCAAGTCAGTGAACGGACACATGCGATGCTAAAACACGCTGTGAAAGCTAAAATGAGGGGGATGTTCTGACTGGAATACCCAAGAGGTCGAACCCACTTGGCTGCTAGCTGTACTTCCCTTCAAATAAGCAGGCATTCCGCTCTACAAACTCCCTGTGCTGGACCCGGCGGCCAGCGGCTCGCTCCCCCGGGCGTCTGCCGCTCCCCCGTGAGCCCGGGGACATCCTGCTGGCTGGGGGCTGCACGGCACACGGGGGTGGGGGGGCGGGGGGCTTCTCCCCGTCCGGGCCGCACACACGAGCCCAGAGACTCTCTTCAGGGGAGCCCCCAGCGAGTTTATCACGGTCGGTAAGACAGGTTTCTCTCCTCATCTCAGAAACACCCCCCGTTCCAGGAGCTGGTGAACACAGGGGCCCCGGACTCACGGAAGGGCAGCGTGCCGACAGTGGGGGCGGGGCCAGGCCGGGGCGCACGGGATCCGCTGTGGGGCCTGCGGGGCTCCCAGCACCAGGCCCGGCCTCCGCCCCCCGCGCTGTGACAGCACCCCCCCGCCCCCCCGCCCGGTCCCCAGACTGTGCCGGCGCTCTCCTGCGGGACGCCCTCACTGGGACCTGCTCGTGTGAGAGTCCACGCGCACTCGGAGGCACAACTTGAACCTGAACAAGAGCTTCCCCCAGCGGAGGCAGAGAGAGTTAAAAATAAACTCCAAGTCACCTCAGACGCTCGAACAGCCTGCTCGGAGTGTGGCAAGCCCCCGCTCCCCTCCTCCCGCAGAGGAGCTGCGTGCCCCCCAGCACGGCACGGGGCTCAGGCAGCCTTGGGCGCCCCCTCAAGGAGGCCGGGACCAGCCAGGAAAACCGCTTCTGGGGGACGGCGGAGGGAGCCGGGGCGCAGGCTGGAACCGGCTCGGGGCCCGAAGGAGGCAGACCCGGGTGTCTCTGAGGCGCCCCACTCCGGCACTGCTCACTGCACCCACTCCCACGCGCTGCCGCTCAGCACACGCCCCTCCCCCGTCTTCAGCGGAGAGGGGAGCCGAGCCGTGCACACACTTCTTCAAGGGCCCTGGGCTCAGCAGCGTCCCCTGAAACCGCACAGCTGCCCGCAACCCCAGGGTTTCTGGGACGCAGGGTCTCTGCAGAGGCGCTCCGTTCCAACCGAGGTCGCACTGGTCACGGCGGCCCCACCGCAGTGACAGTCCTTGCGAGGAGAGAGAGGGGGCGGCGGGCAGAGGCACGCCCAGAGGAGGGGGCCGAGCGGGGCCGGGGGCAGGAACTCGCGGTGCGCCGGAGCTGGGCAGACCCGGGACGGCTGGCAGCCGCCGCCGCCGCGGCTGGAGAAGGGGCAGCCCTCCCTGGGGTCAGAGAGCAGGCCCGGGACACACCCTCGTGTTGGCTGCCCGGCCGCCTGACCTTGAGAGGCTACGCTGCTCTGTGCCCCCCCGCCTGTGGCCATCCCGGGACACCGGCTCAGACGGTTAGTGATGAAGGGTGTTTTGGGCTTTCTATCTCCGATAGCGTGCGAGCGTGTCTAGCGACAAACCGGTTCCATAAACTAGCAATGGTCACAGCGTCTGTGGGCCAATCTCTGTGCGGTCTCATTCGAGAACATCACTCCATCACACGGCAGAGCCGGGTGCTGGCTGCGTGAAAATGAGCACAATGGATCGATAACCCGTGTGCTCGCTGCGTGTCCCCGCTGTGCCGGCCCCTTCAACCAGCGCGGACCAGACCCGGGACGCGTCCCGGCCGTCGAAGGGTGTAGCGCCTGCTCTTTTCCTCCGGCGGAAGCAACCGGGCTGTACAAAGGAAGTCACTTAAACACGAATGGGGATACTAAACAGAAGTATCTTTAGCCACCCCTTCCAGTGATAACCCTTTCTTCCAAAACAAAACACCCCCCGTCATTCCTTACCTATATTATCCTTTTCTTTGCACGAAATCGAGTAGCAGCAGATCTCTCTGTCCTGAATGGCAGACAGGTTCCTGCGGAGGCAGAAGGGAGCGGTGGGTGTGTGCTGGGAACAGCTGTCCCCCCACCACCCCGTCACCCTGTGCCCGATTCTGCTTGTGTCCCCACTGCTGCGCCGAGGAAGTCGCCTTACTGCTGCAGAAGCGGCGGGGGCTCACTTCTCTGCAGCCGACTCTAGCTACTACCTACGGGCCGGGGCTGGGCCAGACCAGGGCTGAAAGGTGTCGTGTTATGATGCTCACCAAAGCAGGGGGCCAAATAGCACAACTTAGAACTGATTTTTAAATCGAAATGCCATCACCCACTCTAACACATACATTTTTTCAATGAGCTGTTTCTCATCCAAGGCGTTGGGGAGATCCCTCTTGTTTCCCAGGACGAGCACCTGCGGAAAGAAGAGACGCTGAGAGTGCACTCAACACGCCGCGCGCCGCACAGAAGCCTCTGAGACACACGCCAGGGACCGCACGTTTCTGGGCAAACTGCACGTTATTTAAATCGTCATAACTACAGGTCATAATGCACTTTAGGTGTTGTTTTTCAATAATTATAACATTTTTATTGACAAAACCAATTAAACAACTAATTAAACAATGAAAGTTCCTAGTACTTGTTTAAGGTATGGTAGATACTGTGTAAAACATTTTCCTCTGTGAAGAGGGACCAAACAAAATTGACGTAAGTATCTAGATTCACTCCTTTCTCCACGGGCGGCACAAACTCTGCGGCTCTCGTAGGAAACTTTTTCTTTCCACTCGCTGGAATACACATGGGTTAGTGCAGGTTTGTATCACCTGACAGCCTTCTGGGTGGATCTTTACGAGGTGCTCTCCTTGCACCCCCAGGGGGAGGGCTGGACGGATGTGTCTCTGGTTCCGGAGAGCCTTCATTATTGTCCTCCGTTATCCAGTCTCTCGCCACCAATAGCAGAAACTGTTCTTCGTTTCCTCTCGGCCCTTGTTGACAGTTTCTATTTCCTTTGTCACGTTGGTATCCTTTGCAGTGAGCTCACTGTAGCTTCCCTGTAGTTTCTGGCAGCTCTCTGTGCGCTCACTGAGCTTCCTGACAATCACTGCTTTGACCTCGGCATCTGATGGTCGAGTTGCCTCTACTCCATTTAGCATTCTTTCTGAGGCTTCCTCCTTTCCTTTAGTTTGGGAATTGTTTGTCTTCTCACTGTTTGTGAGACTCTTCTGATAGCAGAAACTGTTTATACTGCATTTTTGCTTGTGGATTGAGGCACGCGAAACACTAGAAAACTCGTGAGCGGTCCTTAACAGATAGCTCACGAAACACGAGAAAATCTCGTGAGCGGCACGCAATGTGTTAACGTAAGAACACGCCGCAGAAGCCCAGCGCGTCCATCTGTGTAGACTCTGAAGTGAGAGGGCTGCCCCGGCTGCTGGGGCTCGGTGGGTGGGGCGTCGTCCGGCAAACCGGAGGGTCGCAGGTTCCATTCCGAGTCAGGGCACAGGCCTGGGCTGCGGGCCAGGTCCCCTGTTGGGCGTGTGTGAGAGACAACTGACTGATGTTTATCTCCCTTTCTCCCTCCCTTCCCCTCTCTCTAAAAATAAATGAAATCTTTAAACACGGCGAGAACGCTGCCACACGCCATAACGTTATGGCCTTTCAGGGAGACGGCGGCCTGCCCCATTCAGTCGTACAGGCTGGTGTTCGCCGTGGCTTCCGCCCCGCGGACCCTCAGTGGTCTGTGTGTGGCCGCTGCCGACCTCTACTGAAATGTGCTGAGCCCATGGTGTGCGTTCTGCTGTTCTTTTTTTTGCGTTTTTTTAATTGATTGGTTTGAGAGAGGAAGGGGGAGGGAGGGAGGGAGGGAGGGAAACACAGATGAGACAGAGAAGCTATCGGTTGCCTCCCGCATGCGGTCCAACTGGAGACGGAGCTGGCAGCCCGATGGCGCCCGGACAGCACGCTAGCCGACCAAGTGGCCATGCCACAGCCTGCCTGTCCCCTGATGCTCCACCACGCTCACCTGCGATCCGGTGCCGCCGATGCGGCTGCCTGGCGTCTTAGCCCTCTTCCCCATGTGGGGACCTCCCACCTCCTGACCCCCTTCCTGGCTCTGGCTCTCCTGTCTGCTGGCACCCGACACACACTGTGGGCCCACACGGCCCTGACCACGGGGAAGCGGGTGGAGCAGAGCCCCCCGATAGGAAAGGGGCGCTGCCTCTCCGCGGGTGGTGCCGAGCGCCCTGATAGTGCCGGCACGAGGCGGACCCCCACTTGTGGCACACGCCACAGGTCTGTAATGTGGAGGGAAAAGTCTGGCAGACGTGCATTCAGACTCTGGCTGTGCAACACACTAGTGGCCACGTGGCCTCAGTAACAACCATGGCAGAGGAGGGACACCACCACCAACTCACACTGTTGGGAGGGTTAACTGAGGCGACACACTCCAGGTCCCTGACACCCGTGAACTCGTCGTGAGGCCGGAGCCTGGTCCTTTGCCAGCATTCCTTCGGCCAACCAGCGGCACCGCCTCCCACCCAATGACACCGGCCAGGAACCAGGGCTTGTACCCCGTCTTCCCTTCTCCCCTGCGCTCAGCCGGGGGGCCGTGCTCCTAGGTATTGCTGCCATCTGTCCCCACTGCACCGTCCGTCACCACCGCCGGCATCTGTGGTGCGTCAGCTGTCGGGACTTCAACGGCTGCTAATGCTGTCCTCCGCACGGGCCCTGGTGCTCCCTCAGTCCACTCCTAGAGCGCAGTCCGGATTCAAACACCGCGTCTGATCCCTTCAAACACTGCAGCGGCTTCCCGCCCAGTCTAGCGCACGCAACCTCCCCCCGGCCAGTGCCCCCCTCCCCCCACTGCTGCTCCTCCTCGGGGCCCCGTGCCTCCTCTGTCCGGCCCCCCTTCCTCCACACGGCGCTCACACCTCAGCTCAGGGTCAGCTCCTCAGAGAGTCCCTGCTCCCCTCCCCCCGGCCCACCCCGGCGCGCACCCCTCCCGCACAGCACCAGTCCCAGCACCACCAGTCTGGGGCTTCAGGCCCCCCCCACCTCCCACCGGACCGCGGGCTCCACGGTGCCGGGCTCACCGCTGCGCCCGGCGTGGGGCGCGGCCCCTGCTGCGCGCGGCTCAGTACAGGGCTGGTCGGGGGAGGAGGAACGCGGTGCCCAAGGCACGGCGGGTGCTCAGTCCGCCAAGCCTTCCCGACTTCAGAACAGACGACGTCTTACTGGCATCGATCACAATTCGTGCAATCGTGTACTGCCACATAGTTCCAGCAGTATGGCGAGGTACAGGCATTGCATGTAATGCGAGGTAACAAGCACTCTGTACTCACGGGAATTCCTTGTAACTGCGGTTTATCTAGAAGATTATGTAGCTCGTTTCGAGAGGGTTCTATCTTTTCACGATCTGCAGCATCTATCATGTACCTTAAAAAAAAAACACAGAGTGATCTCAGTATGTCACAACCTTTGATGATCACAATTAATATGAAAAACGTTTAAGAGTTACACTACTGAAACTGTTCATCACAATAAAACCCTAGATAAAGACAAGCTCATCACCCCGAGACAACCCCTCCCCGGAAGCCCGCGCCGACCCCGCGGAGGCACTTACACGATGGCGTTGACGCCCCGGCAGTACCGCTCCCACATGCTCCGGAACCGCGGCTGCCCTCCGATGTCCCAGATCTGCGGACGAGACAGGCACGCTCAGCAGCTTGGCACGGAGCTGGCAGGGCCCACACGCCCCTCCCCACCACGAGCCCACCGCGCCCGAGGAACTGGGGCACAACAAACCCCTGATCTGGAAGCTCCTGGGGCTGCTTCTGAACTTGAAGTTCATACTTAATGTATTCACACTGAGTTTGGTGAGTCTACTTGAGCAAAGATTTAGTTTTTGTGCAATACTTTTTTGTGTGTGCCCGTTCAACACATTTCCAAGACTAAAATGCAGCAGTCTCTCCACACCTACAGGGGACGTGTTCCAGGGCCCCCCACCCCGTGGGTGCCCGGAACCACAGACAGCACCCGACTCTGCACGCACTGTGTTCTTGTGCGCACACGCCCCTGGGATAAGGTGTCACCTGCAGGTGAGGCGCAGCGGGAGACAGACGCCACTGACTGACGGTGACACAGAACCACCGTGACGGCTGCGAGTGGCTGAGGGGTGGACGTGACGGGCACAGGGAGGACCCACGCCCCGCGGGGCAGAGGGGAGGGCACGGGCTGCGTCAGATGGCGCACGATCTGAAGCTGAGGAATTGTTTATTTCTGCCGTTGTCCACTTAGTGCTTCCGGACTGTGGCTGACCGTGGGCAACTGAGACAGCAGATGGGGGGCCGCTGTCTACACCGTTAACGTGATACCCCAGCACCTCCAGGCCCATGCGCCCCCCGGATCCGAGGGCCCACCCAGGAAATGCCTCATCCAGAGCCGTCAGGGCTTCACCGTCTGACCGGGGTGCACACCGACGCCTGACGGTCTCTGACTGTCACGTGAGCACCACCACAGCCGGCGTTTCCGCCAGGGTGTTTCCCTCCCACGAGACGGTCTGACCCACGCGAAAGCTCTGCCGTGGCGATTTCATCTCTGCGGCTGTGGGCCCAGATGAGGCGCTGCCTCCAGGCCCAGGCGTGGTGGCGCCCGTCTCCAGGGGGTGGGGGGGCAGCCTCCCAGTTGGCCCTGGGGACGCTGAGTCAGGGGCGGCCCCGAACCGCCGAACCCACCCAGCCCACCGACACCGAGACTGCAACGCGGCCCCGACAGACGGCCGACAGTGGGGACCCCAGCCCGCTGCACAGGCAGAAGCCCGTTCCATCGGCCCCCCCCCCCCGCTGCCCCCGTGTTACAGCGTTCACGTCGAGGCCGCGGGTGACGCACCTTTATCGTGACGTTGCCCTTGGTCACCTTCCGCATGTTGAAGCCCACCGTGGGGATCATGTCCTCGCTGAACTGGCCCGACTGCGGGGAGAAGACGGCAGAGTCAGAGCGGTCCAGGCGCCGGTGCCCCCCGGTGCCCCCCGCGCACGCAGCTCGTGTTTCAGCGGCGCCTGCGGCCGAGGCTCACGGCTCCCGGACAGGGCAGCGCTCTGTTCGCACCGGGACTCGCGCTCCCACTGGAGACTGGAGAAAGGCAGTTCCGGAACCAGGGGCATCTTTTCCCTTATTTCCTCAAGTGCAGAAAAAGGAAATGTCGTGCAACTACAAAAGAAAACTTACTAACTCCCCCACCTACACACACCTTTTCACAAAGTAAATCAGAAGTAAAACTTCAGAGTTTCTTCTTTGTCAGTGTTTATGTTATGTTGACAGTTGCTGTTGAAGTTCAATAGCTTCTCTGAGTTCTGCTCTAACGAGGCTCACACAGCGTCTTCTCATACAGAAGGCCTCCCTCTATGTGATCACCTCTGCTCTCCTCTTAGTTCACCGCCCTCCTGTCCTGAGACTAAGACGGGGCACTTTCTGGTAGCGTTTATGCGACTTTTTCAGGGTTAAGATTTGATAATACGGTACAAGAAAGCTGCTTTTATTTTCAAGTGGATCAGCAACCAGCGGCTCAGCTCTCAGCGAAACACCCGCACTCCCCGTCCAGCAGGAGGCGGCGCCGAGACCCACCCGGGGCGCTGCACGGGAGCCCTCCGCTCCTTCCGGTGCATCTGGCTGTCCACCGACTAGGGCGGCCCGAGTCACCGCGAGGTCCGAGCGTTTCTGGGGCTGCCCCGGCTCACCTCGCGCACCCCACACGAACCTCAGAAGTGACGGCATTCGACCACCACCAGGTCCCTCCATCCGGGAACACGGTCTCCCCACTCAAACACCCCGATCTTTTACATTCCCCAGTGAAGTATCATAACCCTCATGAGAGCTCCCACAGTTCTTACTGTATTCTTTATTTATTTTCAAAATCCGCTTCACTGATTTTGAGAGAGAGAGGAAGGCAGGGAGACAGAGAGACACAGAGAGAGAGACCCCACTGGGTGTCTGACCCGGGACCAAACAGGCTGCCCTCCGGCGTGGGGGGCGACGCTCCACCCAGCCGAGCCACCTGGCCAGGGCCGTCTCAGTCCTCCTCTGCCCGCGGCTGGGAAGGACGCCCAGGGAGGCACAGTCAGCACCCACTTCATGTGCTCGTGTTTGCACGTTTTAGGTACCAACACTAGTCCTTCAGGGAACAGCCCCGATTGTGAAGCGCCTCAAGCAGGAACCGAGTGGACAAGCGCAACCACCTCCCAGGCCCCGAGAGCGGCGGCCTGCCGGCCGTGACCCTGGCCAGCTGGGCGACTCGCGGCCCCGGCTCCCGAGTCCTGCGCCCCGAGCCCCACTCTCACGGCGGACGGCCTCTACGCAGCGCCACCACCCTGCCCCACCCCCGCGCCGCGGAGTCTGTGCGAACTGCAGACGGGTGTTCGCACGGCTGCAACCAGCCCGTCCACTGGTGTCAGACACCCCAGCTCTCGGAACTTTCACATACAGTTTACGTGTGCAGATCTAGTCGTGTCGGAACTATGTATGTAAAACTAGTCACAGTGTAACACCAAAATGACCGTGATTTCAAAAACTGGCAGAAGCAACACCGAAGGCACGGCCTGTGAGTGGAACAATGCGCAAGCTGGACTTCGCTCGGATGGAAACCACCTGAGCTGCCCAGGACATTGCTGCGTGCGTGCCTGTACCCATGCGGGGGGTGAGGGGGAGGGGGAGAGACTGGGGGAGCAGAGAGAGGGTGGGGAAGACCGGCCGCAGAGCAGGGGAGCCCGTGTGCAGCAGGCCCACCGCTTAGGCGCTGCTGCCCCAGCACATGAGACTCCGACGACTCGCGGCAAGAAAGCGGCCCGGTGAAGAGTGAAGCCGAGGACCGCGCCAGAGGCCCCCCCGCGGCAGAGGCACGGAGGGCAGACAGGCCCAGGAAGGGACGCTCCCACCCCCCATGGTGCTGGGGGCCAGCAGGTTGCAACTCGCACCAGTGCGGCCTATCGTGCGCGGCCTATGGGGTGCCGGCCGGGACGCGGCACCGTGGGGACTCCTGTGCATCGCCAGAGGGCGCGGCGAGGAACAGCGGTGAGGAAGACGGTCCGGCGGCCTCCTGCACAACCAAACACACCCGTGCAACTGTGCTCCCAACAGGGCCGAAACGACGCCCACAGGAAACCCGCACACGGAAGGTCGGAGCGGCTCTGTCCGCCCTTCATCAGGGGGCGGGGGTGGGGGGAGGGGCAGACACCCCGGGGCCATCGGGCAGTGGGGCGCTCCTCGGCGCTGGAGGGCACGAGCTGCCAGGAGCACGCACACGGGGGGGGCCTCACACGCCTGTGCGGGTGGAGACCCGACGTGGACAGACCACACACGTGCGGATCCGACCACATGACTTTCTGACAAAGGCAAACTCCGGAGGTTGGGGGATGGGGGGCAGTAAAAGATTGGGGGTGTGGAGGGTGTGGAGGGTGTGGAGGGGAAGGCGCAGGGCACAGGGATTTCCAGGCAGCAGCATCTCTGCACGCCGCCGCAGCGGCGGACACATGTCCCCGCATGTCTGTGCGCCCACGCCCACAGAAGGCACGACCCCAGATGACCCTGATGGAATCTGCGGACTCCGGGTGGTGCTGAGGCATCGTCGTCAGTTGTAGCCCATGAACATTCTGCTCCGGGGTGGGATTTTTTACAGAAAGATCTCATTTATTTGTTCTTAGAGAGAGGGGGAAGGGAGGGGGGAGAGAGGGAGAGAAACATCAGTGTGTGGCTGCCTCTCACGCACCCCCTACTGGGGACCTACCTGGCCCGCACCCCAGGCATGGGCCCTGGCTGGGAATCGAACCGGCGACCCCTCGGTCTGCAGGCCAGCACTCAGTCCCCTGAGCCACACCTGCCAGGGCTGTCGGCACGACTGCTCTTTCAAACGAGCAAGGGCAAGGAGCACGTGCTAACCGCAAGGGGAGAGAAGGTCCACTCTGCCCGCCCAGTCCACTCGGGGCAGCAGTGCAGGTCCATCCCGCTCACCTGAGAAACGGAAAGAACCTACTCCAATCAGTGTGCCACCGTTTTTCCTCTAGAAGGGTGTGTGTGTGTGTGTGTGTGTGTGTGTGTGTGTGAAGGCTCTGGTGATGACGCTGCTTCGGAAAGACAGTGAACCAGGAGCACAGCGAAGCCTCGCACAGTGTCTCCCCTCGGACGGAGGAGCCCCTTTCACACGCTGGGCCCCGCGGCCTGTTCTTCCCCGGAGCCACCCACACCAGGACTCAGCTGTTCAACCGCCGAACTCCGCACATGTAACGAGCGAAAAGACACGGCCAGCAAACGCACACGGCGGTCATGCTTTTTCCTAAGAACTTTGAATTCAAATGTGAAATGACTACGATCAACACTCATTTTTCTAATAGTAGCATTACGATGCAAGTAAGTGGGGATTCTAGTAATAATATTACTTTTATATTCCAGATACATGAGTAAGAAAAAAAGAGTAAGAATTTGTCTTTTTGAGGGAGTGCTGGTGAAGCACTTGAAATAAAAAATAAGCAGAGACTAGCCCTTTGGGGAACCCTGGTGAGAAGAGGCCACTTCGGCGGTCCCCAACCGCTCCGCGGTGCAAGGGGGTACCGGAGCACCCCGAGGGAGGGGCCAGGCAGCCAGCGCCTCAGAGAGGCGACCAAACTCAGGTCGCCTCATGTGACAGGCGTCAGTCGCCTCGGGCTCAGACGGACGCCGTGGGCCCCCAGAAGGGACACCATAAGTGAGGACACAGCGTCCCCTGTGTGACATGTCAGCTGAGAATGTGCACACGAATCTAGTCATGAGAAACACCAGACAAACCCACAATGAGGAACAGTCTCTTAAAAAGGGGGGAGGGGTATTTCCCAAAAAACCGTCAGTGTCATGAAAGACAAAGGCTACAAAAATGTCCCGGCCACAGCGGGCTACAGAGACGCAGTCCCTCAGTGGGGGCCGACCCTGGGTGGGGCCCTGTGCGGGGGGGGGGAGACTCCGCACGCGAAGTCGCTGGGCCGTGCGTCTGTGCGGCACCGTCCTTTCTGGCGTGGCCGAGTGGGTCCCTGGGCCGGTCAAGGACACCGACGGCCCCACTTAGGCGTCAGGAACTCAGGGACGTGCCGGGGGCGAAGGGCCGGGGTCCCCCGGAAGGCGGCACGGGGTGGGGGTGGGGGGGTGCGGGCTCGGACGAGAAAGCCGAGGAGGCGGGGTCTGCCCGGGCGTGGCCTCGGCCAAGGCCACACGGGTGCTCTCGGCCGCGCTGCTAACCCGGAAGCCTTCCGTAAACCTGGAATTGTTTCCAGATAAAACACTTGAAGATGACGACCCCGATGAGGGTACTCAAACGGCACCTCAGCCTCCGTTCCACCGGGGACGTCCAGAGTGAAGCACGCCGGCCACGCCGCGCCCCCGCCACTGCGACGGCGGCGCCCACGCCCACGCAGCCCCGGGGACTCCCGCGGGGAGACCAAGAGCGAGCCGCCGCAACCCGCTCCTGCCCCTCAGCATCCCGAGACGACACGGGCTCGCAAGTGTCCCCCGGCGGGCGCGGGGGGCAGCCGCAACCCGCTCCTGCCCCTCAGCACCCCGAGACGACACGGGCTCGCAAGTGTCCCCCGGCGGGCGCGGGGGGCAGCCGCTGGGCCCTCGGACCGACGCCACACCATCCCCGTCAGTGCTCTCGCACCCGCCGCCGAGCCGGGAGATGAAGGGACAGAGTCCGCCCGCGGCAAAGCTCCCTCTGGTTCCCGGAAACACGGCCCCGCTTTGCCCGACTTCCCTCCTCCTTTCTAAGCCGCTCCAGCACCCGCCCGGGGAGAGCCCCGGGAACACTCGCGGGTCGAGGGACCGGGAGGACCACTCACGCTCACTCGCTGCGATGGCGCAGAAGCGGCATTTCTCTCAGGTGCCCTCTTCTCCCTCCCTCCTCCGGTCCAGCCCCGCCCCACCCGGCACCCCAACCCACCCGCTCCTCCTTCCTT